TGCTGCTTAGAATTATTTCCCCCCCTCTCCGACAGATGTAATTTCTCTTCCTCCAATTTCTTTGCCTCCTGAAAACGCTCGAGGCAGGTTACAACACCGCTCTCTTTCATGTTGGTGTAATAATACAGCATTTGGTGCTTACTGCACCTCACGGAGGTGCATTAAATGGTGTGAACGCTCCCTGTGGCATCCTGCGTCAGGCCTGTGGGAAGCTCAGTGCCGTCCTCACGGAGCGACTGCTGGGAGGGAGAAGTGCTTGTCAGAGGCAGTCTAGGAAGTCTGTGGTCACTCTGAATGGTCTCTTCCCTGCCAGACCAGCCACGCCGTCCATGCACTGCCCAAATACGCTCAGGTATGCAGATTGTACTTGCATCGTGCAAATTGTGGTCCAGCGCCTCTTGGGGTGATGGGGTCAGTTTAGGGACAGCTCTGTCACATGGTCCCAATGTGCAACTTCCTAGGGGTCACAGGGTGGGGGCAGAAAAAAGGTGGAGGAAGGAAGCGTGGTGGCGAGTGGAGGCCTGGAAATTCATAATGCTGGCCCATGTTGCTTTTGGCACCTGCTGAAGACCATTGATTTCATCAAGACTTCCCTGACTGATCAGCCATGGCTTTGTTGGCATCATTTGATTTCACTTTTGGAGTCTGATTATTATTATTATTTTAGTCTCTGCTCTTTTCCATGCTCACAGCACCAGTGATAATAAGGAGGGGGGGACATGTTTTGTGCTCTCCACTTCCAGTGGCAGCACTGCCAGGCGTAGACCCCATTGGGTGCAGAAGCATAGGAGACTCGGGCTGGAAAGGAGCACAAGCAGAACGTTGTCAGAGCCAAATATACCCCTTTTCCAGCACACAGCACAGCTGCATCCAGTTCCCAAAGAGCACTGGGACCAGTGGGGCCCCTCACAGTGATTTGACTGCAGCTGGCTCCCCCTCTGGAGGGCAGGAAGTTGTGGGCCAGTTCCGCTGGGTAATACACTGTGAGTGGAAGGGTGAGTGGAAGCCTTGCTGCCTTCCCCTTCTTTCCCCTTCTCTGATAGGAAATCTCTGTCCACCTCTGCTCTTCCAGTACGATCATCAGGGGAAGCCCAGTGGCATCATGCGTTGGCAGGAGGGCCGCCACACTTTCACACAATCGTTGTGCCTTCTCAGAAAGGCCATCCTGACGCTGCAGCCTTTGCCTCAGCCACTGCCCAGTGCCCCTTTCTGCTGCCACATGCCGGAGGCTGGAAGCATCGCTGTCCTGGAGAGGAGCGGATAAGGCTCTTCCATCACCACTCCAAATTGCCTCTTCTGGATTCTTTCCAACGCTTTTCACTTTCCACACTGTCAGAGCACATTTGCTTGACGTCTTGAAGCGGGCAAAGCAGAAAGCCAGGTTACTGCTGCTGCTGCTCCTCTTCCTCCAAGCATTCTGAGGAAAGTCCTTCAGCCCGGCTGCTTGTCCCACTGGCCAGAGGGCTCTCATGTTGCTTCCCAGCTTGACTGGAATCCCTCCGCCAGATGATACGAGTAAAGGAGGGACTGGAGAGGTTCTGAGAGCCCTTGAAGCTGCCGCAGCTCTTTTTTTCCGCTCCCAGTGCCGCTTGCTCCAGCCGTATTGGCTCTTGCAGATAACCACGTGTGGCATCGCTGCTCAATTAATCAGCAACCGTCTCCAAGTCTCTGAATGAATGGGGGGTAGTGACCGTTGTCAAAACAAGCCTTGTGCCGCTGAAAGCTCTCCGGCTACACTCCTGGCCTCCTGAACCGGTCTCTGAGCTCATCGGGCTGTGTGCCGCTTCCTCCTCCACCCCGTTCTGTCTCCGAGTGTGGTGGTGCAGGGAGCAGGCGTGTGGAGCTGGGGTGTTGCCGATAACGTTTAATGAAGAATGGCAGGCCTGTTCAAAGCCAAAATACCCTGCTTCGGCATAACGGCAATGTGATACTGCGTGTTTCCAAAGTCTTCCATCACCGGCATGTCTGCTATACCTGTGTGGAGCTTTCTTTAAACTTAAAAGGGCAAATTGGAAGAATGGTGGGCCCTTAAGCCCTTTGCAAGCCACACAAGGAAGTCAGTGTTAAGAGCAGCTTCCCGTGTGAGCAGTTGTTTGCTTGGGGTAGGGTGGAGTAGAGGAACATGGGCATTGGTGCCTCTGGCAGCTGTCAGTGGAGGGAGTTGGTGGGCCTGACCAGATATCCAGCTGGTCGAGAGGACCTCTTTCTGTCCATATTGCTACACATTTCTCTCAAGTGCCTCGTGGTGTCGTCTTCCTGAAGACTAAGAGTCATGGCGCATGAGGCAGCTGCTTCTCTCTTGGAGTGCAGAGTCACTATTTTCTGGTTCTGTTTTCAAAAGGGAACCCGAGCGAGCTCACGTAGGTGCACACAAGGCCTTGTGCCATCGTGGCTCCTTTGGCAACCACACAGGTTTCGTCATCACTGGAACCTATTCAGCACCCAGCACACATGCACATGTACAAACGATGCATGCAAGCATGCATCCATGGACAGGGAGACGCCACGGATGCGTTCCTTGGATTAAGTGAGGTCAGCAAACGGAGGTGGTCACAAACCCTACATCCAGGTTCTGCAATCAGTATGCTCCTAAGTCCGGAAGGATACCGAAGCCACTAAAGTTCGTTTCCAAATGCTCGAGCAGCTTCTCTGCCGCAGAGCCTCCTTCTGCACCCCTGCAAAACCCTGCAGCGCTTTCGCCTTCCGGCAACCCATGCCCCAGCCACATGGGACTTCCTGTTTCCCCTGCTGTTGCTGGTAAAAATGGGCACCTGTTCGCTGCATGGCATTAGCGTCTGGTGGAGGTGTGATTCAGGCCGAGTGAGCCAGCGTGTCTTCCCCCAGCCCTCTGTTACCTGCTTTCGGGAGGAGCGACCTGGCTAAAGCATAGCACCTTTGTGCTAATATCAGGAAGAAGGTTGGCTTACTTTCTAGCTGGTGCATGCATGATTTGTACATGGGTTGGAAGGAAGGAATGTGTTTTTTCCATATATGAGAGGGCAGGAAATATATTTCTTCCAGTGACTGTGTTGGCTCAGAATGATGGGCATTGCAGTCCAGCACTTCTGGAGGGCACCCGATTGGGGAAGGCTTCTCAGGGGCTCAGTGGTCCCCTGCTGTTCCTTGCTGATGCCCCTCTCAGCAATTTCATTAGCCGCATCCAGACTGGATGGATTTCTCTTCTGCAGCAAGTAGGGGCCAGTTTTCCATCTGTCCAGGGAGCTCGTGTACTTGCTTTCCTCTGTCAGGGCACAAGGAGCCACTTCCGTTCTAGCCACTCTCAGCGCCTAGTAGTGCTGTTTCTACCTGGTCCCGTGTTGCAAAGTGCTGGCTCGGGCAAGAGCAGCCGTGGGCAGCGTAGGGTCCTCCGGTTGTCCTGGCCTGGAGCTCCTTCCATTCCTTGCTCTTGGCTTTGTGGACCAAGGCTGGCAACATCTGGATGTTTTGGCCTGCAGGTTGCTCTAGGCCTGTCCAGCTGCACACCTCAAAAGTGGTGACGGGGAAGCGGCCTGTGGGGGGACTGTTCCATGGCAGAGGGTTTGACAGCAGCCCATGTCGGTTATGGACGGGACTGTTTCAGTTCCACAGCAGTGTATGATGTTGTAGTTGGTGCAGAATTCAACTTCTTGAGAAATGTGGTTTCCAGGTTCTAAAGAGTTTCTAATGAGTACGAAGCGACGCTTGGAAAGGCAAGGGCAGTCTGTACTGCAATAGCAAAAGCTGAAGAAGCAATTAAGATTCTCCTTATTTGGGGATAGGGCTTCAGTGCCACATTCGCGCCTCGCGCCTCTGCTTGCTGAAACCAAAATAAATGATGTGTGGTCGTAAAAACTGTAGAATCAATCTTGCAGAATGGGGCAGTATCTCTAATTTTATACTGGCTGTCCAATCCAGCCTTTCCCAGAGTGGAACTCAGATTGCCTGGCTGCAGAATTGTCATCTCTTTGGCATGGATGTTTTGGACAGAACACCCGCTTCTAGGGAACTCGGGGTCTTTCTGCTCATTCCCGCTATCATCCTGGGGGGACTCGTGCCCCGTTTTGCTGCTACCTCAGTCCCAGTATCCCTACACATTGACAGTGATGATGGGTGTGGAAACAGGTTTTGGAAACCAGGGGGATTTCACTGTGGTAGGATTTCAGGACTGCATTGGCACTCAGTCCAGAACTCTCTGATGCTTTGGGGGCCTTCTCAAGGACCCCACAAGCAAGGATACTGGAATGGGGAGTCTGAAATGTGCCTGGCCCTTTTCTCACTGAATGGTAGTTTTTAGGGCCTTGGAAAGGGTATCACTGGAGCTTGGCAGAAGGGCTCCTGAGTGCCTGGGGGGCTGCTCTTTCCTTGGCTGTGGTTGCACCCACTTGTGGTGCTGTTGCAGCAGCGAGGTAGTGGGCTTTTTCAGGGACAGTGAGAATGGGGACTCTGTTGTAAACTCCGCTTCTGCCAGCAGAAATTTGCAGATGTGGCAACTCGAATGAATTGGGCAAAGTGGGAAGAGAATGTGTCCATTTTGCATTTTGCAGCCGCCTTTGTGCAGTTTGTCTCCAAGTGTTACAAAAGAGATTGAGTCAGGGAGCTAAAAAACTCTCAGATTTCAACTTAAGTATATGAAAGTGGACCAACAGGACCCTGCCTTCTGCTGTTTCCAGCCTCCCCCTTAAACATGAAAAGCAGAAATGTGGCCTCTTTCTAAAGCAACACTGAGATTTGCAGAAACACCACAGCCTCATGTTTAGGGTCCTATTCCATGCCCTGTCTTAGGAGCATTCACTGCCCTCCTCATTTTTGGAGTAAAAGCATAGCTGTGGGGTCAGGACGAAGCAGGAGCAGAATGCTGATCCTCCACGGATGTCTCCTTTCATGCCAAAAAGATCTAGCTTTTGTTTACGTTGGATCTCACGCGGCTCTGTGGGAGCCAGGGAGCACAGCCTTGTGCCAGTCTGCGCATCATGAATGCAGGTGCACTTTAGAGCCTCACCTCCAATTTTCTCCCCACTCAGACCTTCACAGCGTGGTGCAACTCCCACCTGCGGAAGGCCGGCACGCAGATCGAGAACATCGATGAAGATTTCCGCGACGGACTCAAGCTCATGTTGCTGCTGGAAGTCATTTCAGGTGAGGCCCTGAGCGGCTCAGTCTGCATTTTGAGGCAGTTCCGAGGGTCGCTTTTTACTTTTGTCGGGAGCTTCTGAGGAATGGACGAATCATCCATAAGCATCCTAGGACAGCTCTCCGGGTATATTAGACTGCAGCTCACATCATCCCCAGCCCTCATGGCAGTGCACATGAGGATGATCGGAGGTGTAGTCTAACACATCTGGAGGGCTCAGAGGTTGGCGGAAGCCATCTTATCCTGGGATTAGGACCAACTCCACTGGGAGGGAGGATGGGGGGCCAGGTGGGGAGACCTGGGGGAGGACCCTGTTTGTGTAGTGATGGGTAAAGGGAGGTACCGTGTTGGGATAAAGACCAGCCAAGTAAGGGGGCTGGGCTGCGTTCCGATCTTCCTCACACCCACAGGTTTGGTGGCTGCCTTGTCAGCCTGTCATAGAGTCCCTGGATGCGACTTGTAAAACTCTCTCGTTTGTGATCAGCAGTGGATGAGGGAGCTCATCTGGTCTGCCTTAACCTATAGTGCGTTGCATGGCTTGGGGCAGCAGCTCCCGAGAAGAAAACCTTTCCCAGCCACAGTGTGCCTGGGCACCTCCAGGGCGGCCCCGGCTGTGCAACACGCTCCTCCCTGAGGCCTGCCTCACCCTGACATCCTCTCAGCGCCAGGCTAAGACTGTATTCTCCACAGTGGCATCTGATGGCATCTCAGGACACTTAGTGGCAAGTTGGGGCACCTTTATCACCTGTTTTTAGCAGGTCTAGTTTGCATATAAAAAATGTTCCATTCATTAAATTGTTGTTGTTGTTGTTGTTTTACAATGGTGCATACTGAATATACGTTGTGGTGTTTAATGTGTTATATTTCATCATATGTATCATCATCATATGTATTGTGATAACCTGCCCAAAGGACTTTGGCTGTTGGGTGGTATATTATTATTATTATTATTATTATTATTATTATAACATTTCTATGCCGCCCCTTGCCGAAACCTCGGGGCGGCTTACAACACGATAAAATACATTGAAATACGATAGCACATAATAAATTACCATTAAATATATAAATATATTAGCATGAAACATATAACAATAATGCAATTGCATCCCCAAATCTTGTAACGCACTTTTCTAGAGGCTTGGTTGGGAATCATGTGGCCAGGTGCTTGCAAATCACAAAGCAGTGGTGGGTAATGGGGGGAGAATAGGTGAGGCTGCTCCTCCCTCATCTTCCCAGTGGCCAGTTTTGCACTCTGACTGGGCCGTGCCAAGAGTGCTGCTGCTAAACTGAACAATGTGCAAGACGGTGGGTGGTTAGCGCTAATGGAGCAGGCTGGTGACTTGCTGGCACTGCGAGCCACGCACCTGCTTGGGGTAATTGGGGTCATTATGCCCGTGTGGCCAAGCGGCATTGGTTGCCTTTCAGTGTCAACGCTTTGTGTAATTCCAGTGTTTCCGCCGACTCACACCATTGAAAATTAGTGTATTCAAGTTGCTGTGTACCAAAATTGTTCTCTGAGGGGCAAAACACTAAATGACACACCAGTAAATACAATCATACCCTCAGATCAGGCAGTAAAAGCCAGCACATGCAGCCGTACTCATAAGCACAAGAGTGATTACACGGAGCTGCAATCGTTTTTAGAAAGCAAGGTGGGTGACCTTAGTCTGGCTCCTATTCAAGAGAATTGGAGAAACAGATGAAACGAATTCAAAATATTAACTAGAAGTAACTTAAAGATCATCTGACTGGCAAGACCTGTCGGCTTTCATGTGCATCGCTAAGCTGGCATTTGATGTAAAAAAGGAAGCAAACTTTTTGTGTTCTTTGTGTTCTTTTGACCTATCCCTCCAACCCTGAACATTTTAGGGGAGCGGTTACCAAAACCTGAGAGAGGAAAGATGAGAGTACATAAGATCAACAATGTGAACAAAGCTCTCGATTTCATCGCAAGCAAAGGAGTCAAGCTGGTTTCCATAGGAGCTGAAGGTAAGCCAGCTGCCATGTGAGAGCCAAATGGAGAGCCATTTTTTCAGACTCTCTGAGTGATAACCTACAACTTAGTTCTTTTGTATAAGCATTTTGGTTTCTAGGTTCTCCATGGCAGGGACCTCGTGTCTCGAAACTTTGCAGAAGTGCTGTGGCAATACTAGGGACATAATGAGCAGTGCATGAAGCTTTGTTTAGGTTCGTCTAGCTACCTGGACTGCCACGGGCTCTTGGAAGATTTAGGGGGTGGCTTTTTGTAGCCCTGCTGGCAGCGGTCCTGTACCTGGAGATGCTGAGGATGACACCTGGACATCGGGATGCATCGAAGCTCTTGTGGAATCCTTCCTTCCAGCACTTGCACACTTTCTCTCATGCTTGGCCCTGTCTTGAAAAGTGAGCTGACCTGAGAGGAAGTCCACAAATGCTCGCAGAAGGAAAGTTGCACAACCAGCAGCTGCCTTCTGTGTCATGTGCAGCCACACCTGGTGCAGAATGCTTGAGGCTTGACTCCTGGGGAATCAGTGCCTGAACACTGGGTGTTTTTGCCAGGAACTCAGACTCATAGCTGCATTGAAGTGGACCAGCATCTGGGGAGCCATGTCCAGAGGATCCAATGGATTCCCACACCTAAAACAGATTCCACACGTACCCCCATGTCTGCTGCTGCACCCGGCTAGCTGTTGTATGTGGCCTCTCCCGCCCCTGGACTGAGGAATGGTCCATAGTCCTAAGGGAAAGGCAGCCTGCGTGGCGCCAGAGCATCATTGCGTGTCAGGACGGGTGGACCTTGCTTTATATGATCCTGCGGGAATTTCCTTGGTGCACTTCCTGGTTCGAGGGGTGCTCTGCCGCCTGAACCACGTTATGAGTGGACAGGGCTGGGTGTAAAGGACACAGCAGAGGCCGGATTCCACTGCCGGTCCCACAACGTGAAGTGTGTCTTTTGACATAATCCACCCCCTTCTCCCTTTCCCTCTTACTTCACAGAACAATTGTGAAGGACAAAATACCAAAAAAGAAAAGCAGAGCATAGATGCTGGAAGGCTGCCATCCGTTGGAACGACTGCATTGTGCAGAATACAGAAAGGGCTGTGCGTGCCCTGGGATTCTGCACCTTGCATACTGCACAGACGAGCTTCCTGATGATTTCCATGCCTAATTAGGTGCCCCGGAGGCAGTGTCTCTGTGTGCACCTGACCAGCTTGTGTATAACGGTGGGGCAGGTGAATAGGAAGTGCCTGGGTGTTATACCAGAAGGGGGCTGCTGCAGAGTGGCTGCGAGTGCAGAATTTTGACTTCAACGGGCTTAGTATGGCGTCTGTGTGAGCTGAAACAGGACAGAGCTGGTGTAAAGGTGTGACAGGCTCTGGCTTGGGAGCTTTGAACAAGCATTCTGGAAAGAGCAGGTATCCTCTTCTTCCTCTTCTTACTGTTCCCCATGTAAAAGACAATCTGAAAGTCAGGCTGGGGGTGTGAAGGAAGGAAGGCGTGTGCACACGCCGCTCTGTCGCGGCCCCCATGGCATTGTGAGCCCAGGCCAGCATTGGTTTCTCCCCAGCTGCTGACTTTTCCAAACCAGTTGGGGCCAGTGATTCCAGGATGCGTTTTCCCTCCGAGTCCAATGTTTATATGTTGCTGTTCCAAGCCTCTGTGACTGCTAAGCCTTTGAGCTTGGCCAGATTTACACGCTGGTGATAAATTCGTTACACATTTTAAAACAAGCAAACAAAAATCCCCCTGATTCATGCCATTAGATTTTTCTCAGCTTTGCAGTTCTTTGCCCCTGGTCCAGCTCCCTGCTCTCTCTGCTGGCTGCATGGATTTGGCTTGTATTTGGGGGGGGGGGAGGGGGCTCTATCCCGAATTGTGTAGTGGGGGAGCTTGCTGACCCTTTGCCCCCTATATAGATGTTCACATCTGTACTCTTGATGAAAAGGTACAATTAGCTGCAGTTCGGCAGTTAAACAACTTGGCTGTCGATTTCAAATCTGCATTTCAGTTTCAGCTGTCTTCATTTCCGCAGTTCTGGGCCATCTGTGCTTCTCCCTTCTGTTCTAGTCTCTTTCCTAGCTTTTTTCCTCCTCTTCTCGACCCTTCCTTTTTCCATTTCTCCTTTCTGGGCTCCTCCTGCTCTTTCTCCACTGCCTTCTCTCTCCAGCCCTTTTTCTTCCACCCTGTGCCACAGAAACAGTGGGTGACCCTAGGCAATGCATTCCTCTCTCAGCCTTCTTGCTTGCTCACCCTGTAATCAGGGGCTAACGTTAATCTGCCTTTCAGGGCTACAAGAGTCCTGAGAATCACTCTGAGGTGTTCTGAGCTTTTAAAAAGGCCAAATAAACATCAAACTTCTTTTCATGGTCACTGCATGGGGTGTTTTGTGGGAATAATTGAAATAAAAAGCCCCTTCCCTAGGTTGTGACCACAGATGCAGCATCAGGCCTTCAGGCAGCCTGTACAATGTCTGATAAACAAACCTGCCGCTCAGTCTCTTCAAAGATGGTGACCTTAAAGCTTCATTGTGTCCCACCATCAAGCCAGTGAATGGATTCGTAATGTAAACTCTCCCTAAAGTTTTTGCCCCCGTAGATCTTTCCTTGGGCTACCCATCTTGCACCACTGTCTGGAGCTGAAATGCCATCCAGTTTCTATGACTCAAAAAAAGAAAGAAGGATAAGAGAAAGTGACTTCATCAATGACTATTATAATGAAACAGAACCACGTTATACTGGATACTTGGGAACAAAGAGGGGGCTGCCAGCATTGTCTGCTTCTGAGCTGCCTGCCTGGAGAAACTTGATGGATCCCCCTGGGTCCAAACACCACTGCTCTATCTTGCACCGCTTTTCTCCTCTCCCTCCTCCCAGCACCTGGAGAAGATGACATTAGTCTTAGTATAGCGTAGCACAGCCTTCCCCAACCCAACCACAGCTCCCGCCATCCCTGGCCAGCATGGCCCACCCATCTGGAGGATGCCAGTTTGGGGAAGGGTGGGCAGGACAAGTTTTAGTCTAAGCCAATGTGCTTTGGTTTCTCTGTGCCGGCTGCAGATGCCTTGCAAAGCCTCCCTCTCCAGTCACTGATCCAAAATAAGACAGTAGCTACAGTGCCTCTTCCTGATCTCACAGGAAGCCTCACTCCCTTGCTCCTATATCTCCAATTGCATTTTATTGTATTAATTGATATTTATTTATTTGTAAGCCACCCCGGGGCTTAGGTGAATGGGGCGGCATATAAGTCTGCTAAATAAACACACACACAAACAAACAAATATCCTTTCTAGCAATCTTAGGCCAGGATATATCAGGTTCTGTTTTCTAGGGCTGCCCCAAGGATCAGGCATTGACTGCCTCACGTCCTGGGGAAAACCAAAGCAGGTTCGGACAGGTTTGTGCATCAGGAGTGGCATCTCGAATTACAGAAGCAAGCGTTTACTGCTGCACCGGCCACTCCCCCTGCTCTCCCACCTTTCGCAGATTGACTTCTCTGCTTAGCACTGCCGCTTTAATCCTTCCCAGTTCCAAGCACTTGCCTGCCTGGAGCTTGGCTCTCGCAATCCCAGGGCACTCATGAAATTTCATGTTCAGCTGCTCGCAGAGATGGCCATGATCATGCACCAGCCACTGGCTTGGCCTGGAGTGTCTCCCATTAATCTCCACGGTAGCTGAAACATTCCAGACTCTTCCTCTATTGTGTCTGCTGCTAGAAAGAAAAGGCACAGATTGCACTGGAAGAGCAGCAGCGGCTTTCTGGCCTCCTGGGTGGCTGAAGAATGAGAGGATGTCTGCCGTCTTTGCTTCCAAACTAAAAGCGACGCACAAAACAATTCCAGGTCCAAGCAGCCTGAGCTCTCCAGTTTCCATAAATGGTTCATGGTTGTTCTTATTAGCTTGCATAATCCGAACTTGTTAAGGGGTTTTTATTATAAAATTCAGGCTGATCCTGTAGTTGTAAGGAACAGTAAAGAATTTCATAGAACGCCAAAGCCACAGCCTGGGATTCTTACCCAGCGCGCCCCCCCCCTCCACCTTTGACTTTGGATATTACACCAGGCATTTGCCATGAGACCTAGAAACTTGCTTTAAACAAGTCATATCCCAAACTGAAACATGTGAAGGCCCCTTGCTGCTCAGCCTCTGCATCGTGGCACCTTCAAAGCAGTAAGGCGAGACGTACAACTCCCCTTGGTGATTTGCAGGTGTCCCACTGGGGGGGGCGGGGACACAGCCACGATCATCTGCTTGGCGTGCAGCTCCTTTGTACACTGGGTGATTTCTGCACAGAGCACTGGCATACGTTCCGCCAAGGCTCCTGGCCCCAGCGGCACTCGTTCCCAGTGCTAACCCTCTTCCTCCCGCCTTCCAGAAATTGTCGATGGCAATGCAAAGATGACCCTTGGCATGATCTGGACGATCATCCTCCGGTTTGCCATTCAGGACATCTCCGTGGAAGGTAAGCCTCAGGTCTCTCCTAGCCCTGCCTAAAGGCCCTCTGCATTTCCTGCTGGTGTGGCAGCACTGGCCGTACGTCCAGCGTAGTTCATACGCAGGAGGGGAGCGTGCTAAACCCCAAGTGGTGGAGCAGGATGGCAACCAGGGACAGTGCCCGTGTCTGGAGATGCTTCCTGCTTCCCTCTAGATCAGTTCCAAAACATCATGCACAGGGCAGCAACTCGGCCAGTTGCAGTGACAGTCACTTTGTCTGTCGAGCTCATGGCTCTGGCAGTTGGTCACATCCCAGATCTGGGAATGGCTGTCAAGGAGCTGGAGGCTTTCGGATCAAATATATCCCCCTGTAAAAGCTTTCCACCTGGTCCCCAGGGTAGTCCCTTGATCAGAAGCACAGCCAGGCCACCAGTGAGGCACCTCTGCAGTTTTAGCTCAACGTGGATTAAAGGCAAAGGGCCCTGTAGCAGGGACAGGAGGAGCCCTTTGCTCTCCTTCCCTAAGGAATTTTCTTTCATTTTGAAAGAGAAATATAGGCTGCAGAACACTCAGGCAGCATAACAAGGTGAGGGAGGCTGCCAGCTGAGGAAAGCTCGCATGTGTAGGACTTTTTCCTTTTTCAGCATGCATAAAATTGCACCCTGGAGAATCCTAAATCAGTAAAAAAAAAAAAAAACCCACTCCGTGATATACCATGGATTATACCATGGATATCCTTGTTGGTCAGCTCAGGTAAAAGACCCCAAGGAGAAAGTCAGTAATTCAAATGATGGGGCATATAAGATGCACACAGATAAAGCACAAGCGTCACTATTTGACTGGAATTTTATCAGAGGGTGGAAAGTCTTCCACATGGAAGTAAACAGAAAATATACTGTTGTTATATATTTTTGTAAAAACAGAATTCCTTGCTTCCTGAATTTGCTGAGTATGTTTGTACATAATCTCCCAAATTTTATCAGCCCATGGTGGTTTTGATGGTTGCTTTGGATTCTCGTAATCATAGAGGTTTTTGTCTCTGTATTCAGTTGATTAAGTCCATGATGCAGGAAGGGGAAGTGGTAGTGAACAGCTGGCAGAACGTATTTGGGGAACATAGACTGGGAAAAGGGAAGGGAAGGAGCCCCTCACCCTCCTTGCCCTCCTGGAAATGCCCTGGTTTTGAGCCCACAGCGATCACAGGTTAGGAATCTAAGATGGCTACTGAATATCTAGTCATGTCACCTTGTGGAGGACAACCCACCATACGCTTCTGTGGGCTTTGTGATGTATTTGGTCCTAGTTCTTCAGATGCGTCAAAGGAAGTCTTAAGGGCCACCTGGCTAAGAGGGTTTCCTTCTTGGATGTGCTACACTCTCACATGAAGTGCCAGAAATCCATGTCCTGTGGGGTGCCTGCTGCCCTTTGCAGACACAAAGGCAGTCGCGTTTGGCGTGGCTCTGAATGTTTTGGCTTGGCTCTGTCCCTTGTCTGTGTTACCTTGGATTAAAGTTCCCTTTTAGGCATGCGCCTTCCTGAAGTTACCATTGTAACCTCCTTTTCTTCCTTCATGTGCAGAGACCTCGGCCAAGGAAGGCCTATTGCTTTGGTGCCAGAGGAAGACTGCGCCCTACAAGAACGTTAATGTGCAGAACTTCCACATAAGGTAAACGGTTCAACATAGTGCTTTGTCAGGGACAAATAACTGGTGCGAAATGATAGTAGGAGAGAGCTTTTGCCCTCAAACCATGCAGTGCCCTTCCCAGGCGTCCTGGTAGAAACAGAATGCTGGACTGGAGGGGCCCTAAGCCTGGCCCAGCAGGAGTCGTAAGGTCTGGCTTGTGCTTCTCTTGCTGGTGGTTGGTTTCTTGGTCTTTGATGCTGGTGTTTGTAACAACACCATCCTTTCTGAAAGAGGGTTCACAGTTTTGAGGAAGAGGGTACAAAATCAATTGGAATCCTCTCTAAACAGCCCAGGCAGCCTAACTGTATCCTTGGCCTTCTTTTTACAGCTGGAAAGATGGCCTCGCTTTTAATGCCTTGATCCACAGACACAGACCAGAACTAATTGAATACGACAAGCTAAGAAAGGTACGTCTGGAGCAGCAGCTCCTTCCTTTTCACCTTGGCCTCACGTGATCTCCCCAGAACCCAGGAGTGTCTGCTAATGGCATGGCACCTTGGCCAGTTATCTTCTCCTAGCCTCAATGTGTAAAATGTGAATTAACAGTGGCAACCTCAGGGTAAAGAGTACAAAACTTACTGTAAATTGCAGGGTTGAAACAGCTTAGAATTAATGTCGGGTTTTAGAATTCTTGTGCAGAACTAAAAACAGGTGTCTGGCAAATTATGCCAAGCTGGGCCTGGTTCACATACTGCATTTCTGGCATAGCAGCTGCATGGTCGGAAGTTCATGTAGGTGCAGCCGTCTTAACATGCACATCCCATGTGGCTCAGTTGAGTCTCATGGCTGGGAGAAGAGTGCTCAGCTGATGTGCAGCTGTGAGCATCATTAAGCTGCAGGGGGTGGATACTCTGCATATCCCCACAGGAAAAGCTGCTCTGCTGTGGTTGTACACAGCTGTGTACAACCACAGCACCTGGCTGCCATTTTCCATAGCAGCTGCACCAGAAATAGAAAGGTTGAATCGCATCTCAGAGTAGCTGCTGGTGGGAAGGCACAGATGCAGTTTTTGTCATTAGAGTTCTTTCCAGGTGGTTTGGCCGGTCAGAATTGCCACTTGCATTGGATGGCAGAGCTCTGACAGCTGTGCTTCTCTGGCAAATTCCTTCCTCCCAGGATGATCCAGTCACAAATCTGAACAATGCCTTTGAGGTTGCTGAGAAATACCTTGACATTCCCAAGATGTTGGATGCAGAAGGTAAGCTGAACTGTGTCTTCATTGAAGTAGCGAGTGGCTCTGTTTGCTTAAAAGAACAAAATACTGTCAGGATAGTGTCTGGGTTATAATGTAAGCATTTCCCCATATTAAGCGGTTCTTTAAGCCGAAGTGCACTCTCTCCACAAGCCAAAAACAAGTTGCTGAATGCTACATTTGGTTAGATCAGCCTGGGGTCCTCCAGCTGTGTTGGACTGAAGTTTTCTGGAAGCCAAAAGTCCCAACACATCAGGAGAAAGAAACCAGATTTGGGAAAGCTGGGTCGGATGTCTTTACTCAAGGTAACGGGCGTTCCTTAACATAGACTTACGTGGAGCCCATCATCCTCAGTCCATCTTGGACCTGGATTCTAAAATTAGTCATGAGCCGCCCTGAGGGGCAGGCAAAGGAGAGATGCTGTAGAACTTTTCCTGGCTCATAGCTTGCACACGGGTTTGATGGAGCCAAAACTAGGGCCCTTGTGTTGTCTGACAGCCCGTGTCACACGGTGCCCATTCACAAGACTGACAGCCAAAAGAGCAAGTCACTGTTCTTGATGCTGCGTGTTTGCCCTGACATTACGTCCCTTGGGACTTCCAACCATTTGTGGTCCTCCTAGGGTGAAGATGGGAAAAGCCCACAGTTAGAGAGCCAAGCCCTAGGTCATCCCAGGACAAGCAAATCTCCATGAGTATGCAGATTTTATTCAGAAGTCCCAAAGCACCCAATGTAGCTTTTGGTCAGCAGAAAAGCCAAACGAGAGAACTACTTCTGAAAATAAGCTCTGCAGCCTTTAACATCCTTTAGCAGGAATTCTGTAAGCTGTCTCGAGATACTGTCAGAAGTGGTGCGGAAAAGCACCCCTAGGATAGCAAGTTCAACTCGGCTAACGTTCTGTTCTGGATTGCCTCAACTCTGAAGTTAACTTTTCCCAGACTTCGCTTTTGCCTGCAGGAGAACATCCGAGCTGGTGGACAGCAGGTCCCTGGGCGACACCAGAGCTGACAGGGCATCGGATGGCGGGGCTTGGCTCCCGGTGTTACTCAATGCTTGTTGTTCGCTTTTCAGATATTGTCAACACGGCCCGTCCTGACGAAAAGGCCATTATGACCTACGTTTCCAGCTTCTACCATGCCTTCTCTGGCGCACAGAAGGTACCAGAAGCACCCAAGCTCCCACCATTAACAACTCTTCTGTTCTTTCCAGCGTCCTGTGCTCTCCTGGCTTCTCTTGCAGAGGATGAGCCATCTTCTAGTGAACTTGGAACCCAAATCTCCGTTGGCTCAGGGCCAGGCGTGCTGCAGGGCCATTGCTTTGTGTCCTCGATTCAGTTTTTAGCCAGAAATGTGTCTCTTCCAAACAGAGTGTGAGGGATGGCCAACTTACTTGGAAGGCTTTTGCAAAAGGGGACTTCTCTTGTACCACCCCGTCAACCATTTATCACCTGTTTTTTAACAGTGGAGGAGTGCATTAAATGTAAACATATTTACACTTTTTCCAAACAGCACTATAGGTGCTGCAGGAAATGTGAGAACTTTTCATTTAATAAATAAAAGCTCCTACATGAGAAGAAGGGGCAGCCTCTAATTCCTTCCCCTTCATTATTACAATAGCACACCAGATTCAAAATAGTTTCTCAAAACAAACAAATGAACTCCAAGCTCCACCAATTACAATAGATCCCTCCCCAAATCAGTTGATGCTTCTGATTTTGATGGAAGCTGCAATCTTAAATATACTTTGGAATTAAACCCCATGAAACACAGGAGAACTTGCTTCTGTGTAAACATGCACAGAACTGTAGAGTAAATTAACTGCGAGTTTCAAGAGTTCTCCCTCCTTAAGGAGTAGGGTCAGGTTAGAGCTTTTTTCAGAGGCATCTTGGAGCTTGCACGGAGGAGATGGTTCAGAACGGCAGAGCTCTGCCCCAGCTGAGATTTGGGTCTCCATCAGGAGCAAAGGTTGCTCCTCTCACTCCACCTCTGCCGTGCTGCATGCCGGAGCGGGCCTCAGAGGATCTTGTGCCATTCCCTTGACTCTGCTTCCGTTTTTCTCTTTCCTCTTGCACAGATATTGTAGGCACGCTCAGGCCCGATGAGAAGGCCATCATGACCTACGTCTCCTGCTTCTATCATGCTTTCTCAGGGGCTCAGAAGGTGAGCTTTGGCTGGGTGGGGCTGCTTGCTGTCACTTTTAAAGTTGCCTAACTGCTTTAAGCTGTCACTAACGTGTTCCCTAATCGGCCTCCTCCAGCATGGCACAGTAATAGCATGGAAAGGGCTGTGAAGAAGGCTCAGCTGGGTGCTTGGCGGGCATGCTCCAGGTCTGCTCTTTTGCCAATGAGTCAGGAAGCAGCAGCTCTCTTCTCCTGGCCGTTTCAAGTTTGGCTCACGCCTGCCTTTGGGTCACTGCTTGAAGGAAATGGAGCACATGTTGGAAAATGTGATGCCAATGACATCTTTGTGTGCCGGTGCTCTCGTTGGGCCCTTCTCTCTAGGAGATCTACGGGGGAGGGGGTGTGAGAGAGACAGACCTAGCTAGGCAAGGGTGGCATTTCTCAGAGGGAGTTTCTCACGTTTTAGCTTAGTGTCCCGCTTCCCTCCTCCATCTCGCCCAATCACACCAAGGATTCACCGGGACTGGAGCCTTCACGCTTGCTTTTGGAATGGTCAAAAGCTGGCTGACTGTGTAGGGATGCTTGGATCCCTCTGAGAGATTCTGCTAGTTGAAGCCCATTTTGTATCGCCTGAAGAAAGATGTCTGGATTTGCTTGAGATCATAAGGAACTCTGTGTAACCCTAGGGCTATCTATAGCACAGTGGTATAACATGGGCTTTGTGTGCCTCCGGTCCCTGGTTCACTCCTCGGCGTCTCCACACAGGGCCAGGCAAACTGCCTGGAATGCTGGAGAGCTGTTGCTGCCAGTCAGTGTCTGCAGCACTAGGTTAAATGGACCAGTTGACTGCCTCAGTACAAGCCGGCCTCCAATATTCCTAGCTAGCGCATTGTACGCACAGTGGAAATCCCAGGCATGTTGTTGACTCTCTGAACAGACCTAGGTCAGCATGACTCATTCGCAGCTCAGTCCTCGTGCCTTGTTCTGCTCGACAAAGTGGTCATAGGAATATGGCTCTTCTGCCTTCTCCCCCGCACACCTCGGATGGGACTCGCTGTTTTTCTGATTCCTCTTCAGGCCAGTAACTGAAAAGTAAATGTCTGCCCAGGATGGTGTACGCAGCTCCTTTTGGCCACAAGGGTTCTTGTATGAATGTTCCACTCTGCGTATTATGGGTTTGGATTGAGTCCTTACAAGACAGTGATCTCTTCTGCAGGTCTGAGAGCATTAAGGGCCACAAAGTACATCCATCTGAAATGATACCAAGGGCAGAATGTAGTTCCTTCCATCCTGATAGGCCAAAGCAATATTGGATTGTTGGGTACAAGATAAATCCAGCCACCCAAGAAACTTGGCTTTCTTTTCCTTTTAATGTCAAGCTTCTTGCTCTGATTGTTGCAAAGAGCAACTTGAATGTGTCTGAGAGAAGCCTAGAAGAATCTCACCAACTTTTGGTTCCCAAGTCCTGTCAGGCTTCACTGGCCACAGCCCGTGCCTCAGTGTGCCCAGTGGGAGCAGAGCAAAGTATAGAAACTATACTCATAAATGTAGACACACTTGCTTTGCATATTTTATGCCGGTTGCAGAAGTTAAGTTCAGGCCCCCGGCTTGAATTTTTTACGTAGGGAGCGTGCTGCCCTCTTGTCGGATGCATCGCCTGTCAAACCCATCCCTTCTCACTCCGTTCCTCCTCCCGCTTTACGTCACACGCCAGCCTGCTGCCACACACAGAGCATGGAGCTGGGAATTGTGCTCCGCATGGGTCCTCCCGCAATGAGCTCTCCGGTCCGCCGGCCTCTTGCGTCATAGCGCATCACAGAGCTCTCCTTGTCCCTCCCTCCAGCCTGCACGCAAACACGGCCCTCCCCGTTCCAACCGGTAGCTGCTGCTATTCACAGCCAGGTCGCTCACCTGCCCAACTGGCACCCTCTGTCAGGAAAGGTCAGCCTGTGTCCCTCTGCGTCAAATTCTAGGCATGGATCGTTTTGGTTCATGCATCAGATGACCTATTGCTAAGTATCACTATTTAAGTTTTTAACTCAAGGAGCATGGAGTGGGGCGCATGGCCCCCACTCCCGTTATTCGTAGTTATTTGCTGCTCTTCAGCCATGGATTTCCATTTAGCTGCACAACAGCCTAATGTGAGAGTCAGCTGAGAGGAGGTCTCACGTTGCTGAGGAGTGGGTCCGCGACCTGCCCTCTAAGCTGGCATTCCCCAACCTGGTGCTCTCCAGATGTCGAGGCTTGCCGGCAAGAAGGGAGGTGTAGTCCGCACATCTGAGCGCACCAGATCGGGGGAAGGCTGCCTTCCAGGTGGCTCTGCAGAATCCCTTGTTGTGCAGAAGCCCTCAGCTCTTGCCTTGCCCTTTGCCCCACCCTGTCAAAATAAGGTAACGGTCTCCTACCGAGAATTTTTTCAAAAGTCACACCCCCAACCCTTTGTCGCGCTGCTTGTACCTCCCGGCGTATCACCATTTGTCATAGAGCTTCACTCGGGAGGAAGATGCTGTAGTCTCCATCCCTGGAACTCCTTCCCAGTGCCAAATCAAGACCCTGTCTTTGTAGCCCATGCTGGTTAGCCAGGGATCTCCTGGAGGTGGTGGGTGCGAAGCCCCCAAGGTTCCCCGTGTGTCCGCGGCCGCGTCTTCCGGCTTCCCCGCCTTTCCCCCAGTCGCCGGCAGCCTGGTGGCTTTTGCACAGGCTTGTCGCTCCATTCTAAAAAGTCGAGTTGCCTCGGCGGTCCTGCATCTGCTGACGACGCCTGTTCTGTACCTGCAGGGGACTGTGCAGATTAGTTTCCTCCCTTCGGTGTTGAAACCAGTAAGAAAAGGGAGGGAGCCGGTCAGCTTTACTCTAAGTGCTGCCTGGATAGTTTAGAGGGGTTTAGATAACCGAGCTCCGTGCAGGGATTGTGAGTGCCCGCCCTCCCTCAGATTTCACTCCGGATTGTGTCGCTTTCACCAGTCCTACAGCGCATTCATTTCCCCAGGAGTAATTAGGAGGCTTCTGGTTGTGAACATGCAAAGCGCTGTGTGCGCCCGGAGGAACCATGGTGCTCTTGGAGGCTCGCGGGCCCTTGTGCCCGTTGGCGATGGCATCAGGTGGGCAGCCAGGCTCAGGGCCTCTCGGAAGTCCTGGATCCCTTCCGTCCTGTCCGAGACGGGCCCCAGTCCTCTGGGAAGCATGTGCGCACCCCTCCCGGCAAACCGGTGCCCCGGTTGACTGGCAGAGGCAGGCCGAGCCTCACCGCTGGGCCCTGCTGCTTTCGCGGGAACCGCATCAGAAGTTTCACCGAATGCCAACCTGCTGCGAACACTTCCCCCAGCTGCTCAGCATGGAAGTCACAACAACGGAGCCGTGCATAATGTGCAGAGGGAGACTACTTCCCCCAGACGCTCCGGCAGCTCCTTTTCTGGCGGCAGGCATTGTGGGGCGTGTGGGACGGGGCTCCCTTTTCCCCCTCCCCCTCCTCCTCCTCCCAGGCTGCGCCTTAACATGAGAGATGTGCCGCAGCGCTTTAGTGGCGTGTTTTCCGTGAAAGGCAAGCGTTAATTTATTGGCTCCGAATGTGTAAACCCTTTATAGGCAGAAAGGGGAACTCTTGTTCTCTGGCCAGAGCACTCTCTGGGCACCTTCCAGCTGGAGGAGGTGGCCCACCCCGCCTGCCCCCACCTCCCCGCCAGCAGGCCTGGGCTGGCCTGCGCCCGCGGCATTCACAAGCAGGCTTTCCCCCTGCAAGTGCCGGGGGTGCCGAGGTGCGAGGGGGAGTGGGCTGGGTGGATTTCGAGCCTCGGCAGTATCCCTGTGTTATGGTCCTTTGTGTCTGATCCCAGGCATTGTGAGCTCAGCTGGCGTGTTCTTTCCCTCAGCTGGGATTGATTAGTTAGCTGCCTCGCAGCAGCCCCAGCGATCGGTCTCCAGCGTGTCTGTGGGCATGGCTTGCAGGGGCTCAAGGCGGCGTGTGGGTGCTGGGTTAGAAGCGGCATCCCATTTTGTCAACAGCATCCAAAACAGCCCCCACCCCTGCCAAAAAAAGCCCCTCTGCACTTTGCAGTCTGGACATTCAGGCCAAAGAGACTGCATTAAGTAGGGAATTATCATCTGCCACAGCCTTCCCCAACCTGGTGCCCTCCAGGTGGCCATAGTGGCTGGGTACCACGGGTTCTGTAGTGCAGCATGTCTGATGGGCACCTGATTGGCTTTCAGCAAAGTCTGCAAGATGTACTTCAGGATCTGCTGGTAGTGAAACGAGCCGAAGCTCATTAAAGTGCGAGCGTCAGGACTTGCTCCTGTGCAGTTGAGAGAGGCAGGGCCAGAAAGTGCAGGCTGCCTCACTGCTCAGATTGCCGGGCAAGCTTGACCTTGAAGCCTTTCTGGAGGTGGCCAGCTGCTGCCTGGCTCACACCAGCCTGTTGGTGCGCAGGGGCTCCCCTAACTGGCCCGATGCTCTTCCTGCCCCCGCCGCCTCGCCTTCCTTCAGGCCCCACGTAGGTCCTCCAGGGGCCCCTCCCGAACAAGAGCGCCTTGACCCGCTCCTTCGAAGCCGTGTTGGTGCAGTCGCTGAGGGGGCGCTGTGCAGCACGGGGGCGGCTGCTGAGAAGCTGCCCCACTGCTGCTCTTCACTTGTGCCCAGGACTTTGCCAAAGGGCCAAAGAGAAGTCTTGCGTGCCAGCAGGTCTTTCCTTTGGTCAAGAGTCGCATTTACTGGTGAATCAGCGGCTTTGAACAGGTTCAAGGAACCCTTTCTTCACCCCTGCAGAGCACAAAGGAACAGCTCCAGATAATTGGATATGCTGGGGTCCTCCTACCCCCACCCCCATTGCTGCGAAGCCCCTCTCCTCTCAGCCCTGGCTAAGAATAAACTCTTTAAAATGTACAGACTGGGAAACCTGTTTCTATCCCTGTAGTCCAGTCCTATTCTGACCCCCACCCAGCCTAGCCATCACTGCAGTGCGAAAGCTCCTTCCCACTTCACGTGGGCTTGCCTCCTGCAACCTTTGCCCTTCGAAATCATGGGGAAACTCCTCTAGGAAAGGTGGGGCCTGGTAAGCAGAGATCCCAGAGCGTGTTGGTTTTCTTCCTGCAAGAACAGTTTTTTTCTTTTGAATATTCTATTCCGTTGCAACTCAGTTCTTCCATGGCTCTCTCCCTCTCCCCACCCTTCTATAGACCCTCTTCACCCTTTCTGTTGATGTCTGGCTTCCATCTCCTCCCCTTGGACACTCTCTGCTCCTAGCAAGGTACTCGATCTCTTGACTTTCCCACCCCATGGCTTCTGTGTCGTTCTTCTCCCTCCTGCTTTCTGGTAAGCCAGGTGTCCGCACCTCCTGGAGGGCCTCTCCAGCCAGTGTGGGGGCAGCCGCACACAATGCGAAAGCCCCCCTGCTCCATCACGCCCCCTGACATGTGATTCTGATGCCGTTTTTAAACTGGCCTTTACATCCCCACTGCTTTTATATTGCATCATTTTAAAATTTACATTTTTATAGCCTGTTATTTTATGTTTACTTTTATTGCATCTTTTGAGTTTTTGCAAGCTGTTCTGAGTGCTCTGCATACGACATGAATATGAAACTGACTGGGTTGTTCTAGCTGGGACCCCCCCCCCCCAAAAAAAAAAAAAAAGTGAAATGCGATCAGCTTGGGAGGTCACTGATGTCTGAGCAGGCTCCTGAAAGCACGTCACTGGGGCCTGCCATTTAAAAGGAACGGAGAGGGGAAGCGATTAACCTTGCAAACCAGCAGGAAAGGCCTTCTGATGAACCAGTGTAATAGAAAAACGTTTGCAGTATACCAAAATAAGAAGTGCACGTGCAAAAGATAAATTTCTTAAGCTGGTGTTTTTTAGCTGTTACAAGTTTTTAGGCAAGAGCACAACAGTCTGGTTCAGGCTTCTCTATCTTCCCTATTAAGCTGAGATATACCAAAACCCTGTGTCCAATCCATACTGCCCATCTTTTTGCTGCCCTTCCTCTGTCCACTGTGATTCAACACACTTCCTTCATTAATTAACCACAGAGAAGTGATTAGTTTTCTGTTCCTGTGGTCCCCAGTTACAAGGCGAGGCAGGACCTGAAACCTCAGTTTGAAGCTGAGCCAGAAACTGGCTTGTTCCAATCCTGGTAACCACAGTTACCTGGTTTGGATGTAACAGGAAACTATATCTAAGCAAGGAAGAGTTGAATCGCAGCCTGCCAGAAAGGGAGGCGGGAAGAGGGGCAAAACACGTGGGCACGAGGCTAATGTGCATCTTGGCTTAAACTGACTGGGCCAGTGTCACCTGCACAGTATGACATACAGCAGAAGAGTCCAGTGGACCAGAGTTGGCCTGCCAGGCTGTCCGTTGCAGGGGATCTTCAGTCATGCACTGAAGCCTAGATGGCTCACGGATCGGTGATCCCTGGGCCCTGCTTGCACTTTCTTGGGGCCTACAACTGGTAACTTGAGGCCTGTGTTTCTGGTAAGCCGGAGGTGCCTTCCGCTTGAACATGATGTCTTGCTGGGCCGTCAGGCAGAGAAGAAGGGGAGCCGCCCGCGCCGCCTCCAGGGAATGCTTGCCACAAGGGTTGATCTAAACCCACTGGCCTTCCTTGGAAACGGCCGTCTTTGCCCGCTGCCCGGTAGACTCTGCTCTCTCAGCCTCCTTCCACACTTTGCCTCTGTTTGAAGGCAGGTCTGTATTTGTCGGGAAGGCTGCCTGTCCTTTCGACCAACATTTTTTCTCTGCTTTTCTCCAGGCTGAGACAGCTGCAAACAGGATTTGCAAAGTGTTGGCTGTGAACCAAGAAAATGAGCACTTGATGGAAGACTATGAGAAGCTGGCTTCTGACGTGAGTGTAGTTCCCCCCCCCTCCAACACACACACACACACACACGGCAAGAAGGCCTCCTCCTCTGCGGGAGCTGGACCTTTCCAGCCTCTTGGAAGAGAGTGCTCTCAGTGGCACGTCCTCTCCACGGGCCAGATAGAGCACCAGTGCTTGGCTTTGGCTAAGGGGTGGGGAGCAGCCCCTTGGGTCCCGTGCACCCTTGCATGTGTGCACCGTGGGGATGCGTCAGGACCGGAGTCACCAGGGCTGAGCTGGTGGAGAAGGCCGGTGGCGAGGGCAGAAGGCCTTCACTGCCGCAAGGCCAACTGCTGGTGGCATTCATGTGCCCTCGTGTCATTCTGCTTTTATAGTGACATATTTGAAACCTCTCTGGGCTCTTCTTAGTGGGAAGCCAGTTGTAAACATTTCAAAATAAAGGATATCCCTCCACTGCGGTTCCGGCTGAAGGTGGGCACCATTCCAGGCGGGAGGAGGCTGCGCAACGGCCGGCTGGTTGGCTTCTGTTTGCTCAGCCGTAGCTGAGAGCCAGTGTTGCTCCCAGTGGCAACCCCAGAGCCGCCCCTGTCAAGACTGGCCCTTCTCTGAGTTCCCCCAGCTGGCCTCCCTCTTGCTCCCGAGTGTCCCTCCCTGGGCCTGCTGATTGCCCCCTGCCCCTCAGCTGCCCTGAACGCGTCAGAACAGCCTGACTTCCAGAATGAGAGGCATAGTGGTTAGAGCGCTGGACTAGAATGGGAGTTCTCAGTTCTAATCCCACTCAGCCACTGGGCGACTTTGAGCCAATCACTGACTCTCAGCCTAGCCTACCTCACAGGGCTGTTGTTGTGAGAAGGAGAGGATTGTGTAAGCCACTTTGGCTCTCTTGGAGGAAAAGAGGTGGAAAAGAAAAAGATACGTGTGGTACTGAAGGCAGCATTCAGAGTTCCACTCCTGTGCATGGGGCTCGGCTATCTTCCGGTGCATTTCAGGTGCCTCGGCTCTGGAGAGGCTGCCAGGCACCTGCAGCCATGTCTGCTGGGCTCCCGTCTCCCGCGTCGTTAACCTGGTATCTCTCCCCCCCCCCCCCAAACCACCTCAGCTGCTGGAGTGGATTCAGCGCACCATCCCCTGGCTGGAGAACCGCGTTCCTCAGAAGACCATGCAGGAGATGCAGCAGAAGCTGGAGGATTTCCGCGACTACCGGAGGGTGCACAAGCCCCCCAAGGTGCAGGAGAAGTGCCAGCTGGAGATCAATTTCAACACCTTGCAGACCAAGCTGCGGCTAAGCAACCGGCCAGCCTTCATGCCCTCCGAGGGGAAAATGGTTTCGGTGAGTGTGTGCGACCGGGGGGCGGGGGGGTTGAAGAAGCGGGGCAGCACTGGTTGGTGGGATTGGTTAGGCTTCCTAATGGGCCAGCAGCCTGTCAGTCAGAGGTGGCCGTGAGGGCCAGGGAGGAATCAGGAAGCCACCAGGTTAAAGCTCCCTTCGGCCACGCACGCTCAGCACAGCAGGGCTGTTGCAGCCATGCCTGAGGCACTGACTGCACGTGCACAACAGGAACAGGTGTGGCTTGTTGTGTGGCCTCCATTAATCACTGTGGCGGAGTTCTGTCTCCATCACCACAAGCCACCCCGGCTGAGTAGCCACCATGCCTCGTGGGTGAGGGTGATGGAAGTTGTATTCCACCCACACCTGGGGGCTCAGAACGTCCCCATCTCTGCTGGATGGGTTTCCTCGTGAGCAGCGAGCTCTAGAAACCAGCGAAACCCACCTTGTCCTACACACACGCAGGCTGGGAAGGCGCCATATGGGGTTTGCAGCTGGGATGGGTATTCTCGCTGTGGGACACGAGAGCCAGGGTGGCATAATGGTTAAGAGCACAGGACTGAGACTCAGAGGATCCGGGTTCGAGTCCCCGCTCGGCCATGGAGCCAGCCGGGTAACTTTGGGCCAGTCACAGACTCTCAGCCCAACCTACCTCACAGGGTTGTTGTTGTGGGGATAAGATGGAGGAGGAGATGTAAGCTGCCTTGAGCCCTTTGTAGGAAAAAGGCAGGATATCAATCAATCAATCAATCAATCAATGCTGTCCCACCAGTTTTCCGCAGATGCTTTTGGCCACTTTGGCACCCTCCTAGCTGAGAAGCAGGGTAGAAGTTTTGTTTCGTCTTGCCTTGTCTTTAGCATGATAACCCCTAGGGCCTCCCTAGAAAGACTCTCTCATCTCCCCAAACCTCTCCAGGATATTCACAATGGCTGGCAGCACCTGGAGCAAGCAGAGAAAGGCTACGAGGAATGGCTGCTGAACGAGATCCGGCGGCTGGAACGGCTGGACCACTTGGCCGAGAAGTTCAGGCAGAAGGCCTCCATCCACGAAGGCTGGACCGAAGGTGAGCACAGGGGACGCAGGCCGAGTCAGACCACATCGCCCCGGAGCAGCCTTGGCCTCTGTCAGTCGTTTCCAGTCAGCAGTCTGAGATCCCTTTTGGCGGCAGATCCTGGGACCGAAGCCGGGCCTTGCCAGGAGCAGGGAATGTGCTCCTGCATCAAGCTGCAAGCCTTCCCGGCAGTCCCGAGATGACCCAGTCCTTGGAAACGGCTCAACTCCGGGGGCCTGTTGGTGGCAAGCGGTTTTAGCATAATAGCTTTGTCTCTTTGGCTGCTGCCTCTCCACACTGTTGAAGCCGCAGCTGCCGAAGCTGACTGGTCCTTTCAGCGGGCACTGCTGCTGGGCGGGAGCCCTCTGCGAGAGCCCTGTGCATTTTCCACTCACAAGCAGAAGAGCCCAGATTCTGCCAAAGGGACCCCAAATCCTGCAACCTGCATAAATTAGTCCAGATAAGAAGTAAAGCTATTCTGGAGGGATGGCGGGGAGGAAGGGTTCATGTGATGCAGGGCTTCACCCGCTGAAAGCTTTCAACAGTGAGGAAACGGAGTCATGTGAGACTGAGAGAGGTTCCAGCCCAGCCTTTCTCCAAGACGCCAGTTTAATGTTTGTCAGAATCTGTCCAGATAGTGCAGCCCGAGAGCGGTTTTCCCTGTACAGTGACCTGGAGCCTGTAAGGCCGGAGTCCAGCCCAGCCTGCCAAAAGCACGGGGTTGAGCCAGCGCAGTGCCAAGCTGCCCCGTGTGGACTTCCTGCAGTAGGGCAGTTCAGGGCCCCCGCCGGAGTGGGAGCTTTCCGGAAGGAGGGCAGAGTTGCATCTCCCCTTTTTCAGGGGGGAGGCAGGCCTCTCTGGGGCCACTGCCGTCATCTTAATGTCTTGCTGCCTTCCAGGGTACAAGGACTAGGCCGCTGAACGGGGCAGCCATTCCATAGAGAAACGTCTTAACCCTCCGTTTCTCTGCCCCAGAAAGAACTTTGTTCCTCTAGACAGGGGGACGGGGTGGGAGCAGTGGTTTTGCCGGAGCAGCAAAAGTGTGTGATGGCGGTGGCCGTGGGGCGGAAAGTGATCTGTTTCGGCTGTTCCTTGATTCAAACATGACTGAACATGCAGAACCGGGAGCTGTGGTCGTGGGGGCCTTCACGGTTGGGGTAGGAATGGGTCGATTAGACCTTTAGGTGGGAAAACAGAGGAGCACCTAAATCCACCACTCCTAGAGTTAGAGTACCTGGCCCAGTGTGTGGTTGTGGAGTGGCCGCAGACGCAGTGGGGAGCGACAGCCTCTCCAGGGCAGGAGGAACCTGCTGTTCAGCTTTGAGCATCTGCTCGAACCAGGTTTCTAAGTCACAAGAGTCTGGGGCTGTTTGTGCCTTCAGGAAAGTCCCTGTGTGCTCCTCTTGTGGAGACTGAAAATGAAATGGGCCGCTAGTAGGACGCACAGATCTCCTTTCACGCAGTATTTATTCACCTGATGCAGCCGATCGCTGCAGGAAGCGATAGCCCTGCTGAAGTGCCGGAGCCGTTTGGAGGACCATCCTGCCCGTGGCTTTTAGCTTCATTCTTTGCATTCAGAGGGCCACATCTTACTGGAGGGGTGGGAGGAAAGGAAGCTGTTTCCATCTTCCTGTTTGCTGGAGATGGAATCTTGAATTGCATCCAACTTGACAAAGGCCTGGTTTATTCTTGTATTGTTATGCCTGTGCAAGTTGCAACTAGTCATCTTTTTCCCACTGTAGCAAACGGGTGTGGTAAGGCTGTTTATTCACAGGCGCTCTCCCCCAGTGCATCTCATGAAGCCAGGTGGCTGGACACAACAGCCATAGCCCTGTAGGTGGTAGCTCCAGAAGAGCCCAGTTTTAATGCTTGCCAGTTTGCGGTTACAAAGTTTTGTCACCCTCTTGCTGTGCATGGTTTTCCTGGTAGGGTGGTTACGCCATTGTGCGTGCGTGCTTGCGTGCGTGCGTGCGTGCGTGCTTGCTTGCTTGCTTGCTTGCTTTCCATGTGCCACTCAATTACTGCAGCATGTTGTAGAGAAGCAGGATAGGAAGGAAGGAAGGAAGCCACAGGATGTGAAAACCACAGAACTGTTTGCTAGATCACCCCGATTGCGGCTTGGAGCAGAGGAGCAAGATTCTAACGCTTCTGGATGCATGAATAAGCATGAAATCATGCAAAATTGTTTGCTCGGGTTGCGGGGGTGCTGAATAAGATTTTTAGAATCAAGGCTTTGCCACTCCCCCTAAAAAGGGTGGTGTGATGCTGTTTAAAAATGGCAGTCACTTTGCACACAACAGGAGGGATTGCCTTGATTGGCACAGTTTATGCGATCGTCGAATTCAGCCAGCTTAATGTGCGTTATGCACTGTAGGGTGTTTTGGGCCCTCTTTGAAAGAGGAACCTGGACAGTCCTCCAGACAGTGTGTTCATCTGCCCCTGTCTGCCTGGCGTCGTCTCTCTGGGGTCACAGGGAGGAGAAGGGCGCCGTGCCACCCGCTGGCCTGCTCCCTGAATGGTTCTGCTGGAGGCGCTGTGGCTCGGACTCTGGACCTTTGGCGCATGCACTGAGATTCTTAAGAAGCAGGACTTTGCACCCAGTGCCTTTTCCCGAGGGGTTCATATCCCACAGGCAGGTTCTTCCCCTGTTGGCTTGAGAGAAGCTCCCGCCAGCCGAGCCAGACCGTTTTGGGCTGTGGAGAGACCCGTGGTCTGAGTTGGCATGAGGCCGCTTCAGGTGCAGCAGGAGGGGCTGAAACTCCTCCAGGCTGAGGGCCAAATCGGCTCTCGCAAAAGCTCCTTCGGGCAGCATTGCAGGATGGGCGGGGGCAGCATGGGATCGTGCAGATCACCAGAAGCCTTAGGGGAGGCATTTCGGCCGTTGGGAACGTTCCAGAGCCGCTGTGTTGCTGGACGCCCACCGAGCCGACCTGCATTTCAGGAGGAGGCTCCTCCGGCCGCCCCTGCTTGGCGAGAGCGCTGCTCTGCCTCGCGGGCTGCCGGAGAGCCACGCTGCTTGACCCCTCCGGTTCTCAGCAGTGGTGGCGGCAGCAAACTCTTCTGCCGCTGGCCCAGGACCGCCTGAGGTTGTTTACCTCCTCGCCTTCCTGGAATCTTTTTGTCACCAGCCCTATTCTTAGCGCAGCCCAGGGCAGGGAGAGCGTTATCAACGTCCCTGCAGCTTCCTGTTGGGCACCATCTGATCCATGGCAGATTCCTCTTTCTGCAGCAAAGAGGGGGGGCCGCACCCCCACCCCACTTTCTGGGCTGCGCCCCCTCCCCCTCGCCACGGTGGCTTCATCCATCAGAGTGGGCGAGCGGGCGGGCAGTTGCTGTGGGAGGTGCAGTGTGTCCCCAAACAGCTCATGGGAGGTGGGTGAGGGAGAGGTGGAGGGGACTCCTTTGGTGCCGGAAATATCGCTGTTTATGCTTCTGCCTGGACAAAGAAGGCAAGAGCCAAAGGTTGCCGTAAGGGCATCTTCTGTAGTTTGGCACAGTCAGTATCGGGCAGCCTCAGGCCAGCCCTCTTCTGGAGAGTAAGTGGAGCCACTGCTTAGAGCAGACCTGCTGGAACCCGATCACACAGCTGGGTTTTCCCCCCAAGAAATTATCGTTCTCTCAGAGGTCACGTGGCCCAGAAACCTGAAGTCTTTGGAAGCCAGAGGGGAGAGGGGTTCTCTCTGAGTCCAAGAGAGGCAGGTCAGGGCCCCGCTCCCTCCACATTTTCCTTCAGTAGACATGGCTGGGCCCAGGCTCTCTCTGCTTGGTGTGAAACACAAATGTGAAATCCAAGAAGAGATGAATCTGGTGACTTAAGTAAGCTAAGAAACCCAGGGTTATTTTGTGCCATATTCTTACGTGAATCAAAGAACTCTGTAGGGTATCAACATCTCTCTTAGCCCTATAATCCCACATGAGAGCAGAATCTAAGTGTAGATTTTGAGCTCCCAGAGAAATTCAGTTGACATCCTTTCCCTTTAAAGCCAAGCTTCTGGGCCTTCATAATGTTTGGGAACCTCCCTGAAGTTGGAGGATGAACTTGCGCACATCTTGACTTTAGCTGCCCGACTCTGACTCTCAGCTTCCTGAGACGACCCCATGGGGCGGGCGGGAATGGCTCCCCCTCCTCCTCCTCCAAAGCACGCATCATTTTGTACACCTCTGTCATGTCTCCTCTTACTTGCCCCTTTCCTAAGCTAAATAGTCCCAGATGTTTTACCCGTTCCTTATAGGGTAATTGTTGCAGCTCTCCAATCATTTTAGCTCTTCTTTTCTGCACCTTTAGCAACTGCAGAAAACCTTATGTAGGTGCGTTGACCAGAGCTGCACACAACTGTAGTTGCCCCATAGATTTGTGTATGGGCTTGATAATTTTGACCATTGTGTTTTTAATTATCTTCCTAACCATGCCTAATGTGGAAGTTTCCTTTGTCACAGCTGCTTATGCTGGATTAGTGCTTTTGTCGGGCAGGAACGCCAAGTTCTTCTGTGGTCCGTCACCCCCAGCTCGTTTCCCTCAGCTCCTATTGGGAAGTTGGGATTTTTTTGCCCCAACACGCATCACTCTGCACAGCACAGCACTTGCTGTTTCCGGGATTCTCCCACATGTGTCAGCAAAGAGGGTAGGCTGGCTCAGAGAATCCCGCCGCTTCCCTGCTCCTTTCTTGGCAGGAAAAGGGGTCAGGGATTCAGTGCTGCGCGGGGGTCTCCCCATCGCAAGGGAGCATGCTGCAAAACATGGCGGATGGCTCCCTCCCCTTCCACGCCCCCCCCCCCCCAGCCCTTCTTGTGGCCTGAAGAAGGTTCTCTGCTCCGAAGGGGCCCGGCCCAGTCCTGGTGTGCTAGCAGCCCAGCCAGTGCTGAGGCTCGGCCTCTCTGCATGAGCCCTGCTGCTCTCCAGTTGTCTAGACCCCTGCCTGGCTGACAGCCAGGTGAGAATTTTCCAAGCTGAGCGTGTCCCGGGGAACAGCTGATTGGATGAGAAGAGCATTTTCGAAACTCCGGCGGCTTTTCTGCTCCCGACCCAAATAGCTTTTAAATGAAAGCAGCAGCTCCAGCGATGTGCCAGGTTGCTCGCAGCTCTGGCTCCCTTGCCCGCCCCCCGCCCCTCTGGCTGAGGCTGGGAAAGGAATGGGGGGAATCGTGTGTGGAGGGGCGGCGGTGGCAGTGGAATTCCAGCTGGAGGATGAGCCGGGAGAAATCCTTCGGGGCCTGAGGGGGAGCTCCGTGCGCTGGAATCTGTCGCACAGAAGTCTTATTTCCTGTGTAGCTGAAGGAAGCCAAGAGCGCATTTCCTGTGTCTGGGCCCCGTTCGACGGAGCGCTGGGAGGCATATGGCGCAAAGCTCGCCGCACAGCGGGCCAGCCCGAGCCGCTTGTAGGGGGACCCACACTGCTCGAGGACTGTGGGGGGGGGAGCAAGCGGGGCCATGTGGGGGCTTGCGACACCCACAGAGCCTGCCTTCAAAGCGCCCGTGGGAAACCAGCCACCCCCTGCCTTGGCAAAGTGGGGGGCTTTTCAGAGTCACTCAGGCTTGCTGCTCCTACAGGTCACGGCCGCAGAGGTATGGCCTGCTGCCCGCCTGGCTTCCCTCCCTCCCTCTTTCCTTTTTCCAATGAGTATATCTGTCCTGCAGTCCTTTATAAATTCATGACAGGTTCCTGAATTACCTCAACATATTAAAGCAAAACAACAGCCATGTAAGAGACGCAACTATTTTAAAAAGTGTAAAAGTAGGGACATAAAAATACCCATCTGCCTTAAGAATATGGGGGACTAAAAGGGTCTGAACAGCTGTGCCAAGAGCTTAAGGAAGAGCCAGCCGTACCCCTCTAGGGAGGGGAGCGTGCTTGCTTGGGAGACGCGACAGGAGAGGCCCCAAAACTCCAGAGCTGCTGCAGGGCATCGGGAGGATCAAACAGCTCGCAGCCGTGGTGCATCTGACCCTTGCAGCGCTCTGCAGTTCCTCCGGATCCCACTGGAAAACACACACGGAGTGTTTCGGTGCAGCGGGGACCCCGCTTTGGGGCCCTGTAAAGGCGGACCAGCGCCACGCACGTGGTGGGAGAGCTGCGGCGTGAGGCTGATCCTGGCAGGGCAGCTGTGCTCAGCACCTCTCAAGCGTGTGGGCCGCTTTGCACAATCTCCTTTAAAAGCCCTGTGAAGCAGGCCGACTGGTCTGCGGGCGAGTGGCTGCGCCTGGCAGGATAGTCACTTACGCCGGGTCAGGTTGAGCACGTGCCTGCAGGGACCGCCGGGCTGGTGGCCGCCGTGTCGTGCGGGAGGCCTGCCCGTCGCATGCATTTGGCGGGGGGGAGGGGCGGGTCCTTGGCCAGAATCGAGCAGAAGAGCCGCCCTGCAGCTGCCCGTGGGAGGCCCACAAGCAGGGCGGGAGGGCCGGGGTGCCCTCCCCGCAGACCCCCGCGGCTGGCGGACCTGCCCCTCCTCTGACCAGCCTGCCTTCCGTCCTCCACAGGCAAAGAGGCTATGCTGAGGCAGAAGGACTACGAGACGGCCACCCTGTCGGACATCAAAGCCCTGATCCGGAAGCACGAGGCGTTTGAGAGCGACCTCGCAGCACACCAGGACCGCGTGGAGCAGATCGCCGCCATCGCCCAGGAGCTCAAGTAGGCCTGCCTGCCTTCCTCTGCTGCCTCGCTCTCCCGAGCGGCCCCTTTCCGGGGGCGTTCACACCCGGTGCTGCATTGCCCTGCGGGCAGGTGTGAAGCCCGTGGGTGAGCCGAACGGTGGGAAAGCTCTGCGAGCAGCCCGGGCCATTCAGCAGCGGGGTCGGCTGCCTCGGGCCCTGCCGCTCTCCCCTCTGCTTGGGGGCCCTGAAGCAGAAGCGCAGGGGATCGGCCGTTGGCCTGGAAGCCCCTTCTGGTCCCGAAAGGCCAGGATGACGCTGGTGTGGCCCTTGAGCATGCCATGAAGAACCGCCTTCACCTCGATTTTAAAAGTCATGCTGCAGCGGCGGTGGCTCAGCACGGGGAGGGCAAATTAAGAAGCACGCTGCTCCATCTGAGTGCCGTGCCTCTTCCGAGGAGGGTTGGAAATTGTGGTCTGGTGAGAGTGCTGAGAACATTCCCTACCCCTCGTCCCCAGAGTATATTTTCAAAGGTTTCCAGGAGCGGAATGAGGAGGAAGAGCAGAACCTTAAACCAGTTTTAAATGCATGCTCGAACTGTCCCCTGCCTCCAGTCGCAGCCCCCTTCCAAATTACGGAGAAACAGGCAGAAAATGTCTTACGGGGTGTGCAAAGTGCACCCCACGTGGTCGGGCAGCAGGCCCAAGTAATAAATGCTTTTCCAGCTGCTGGGTTATGCATTGGAACGTTCCCCCCAACCTGCCCACCACTCTCTGCAGGTAGAAAAACTCCATGGGGAGGAAAGGGACAGGCGGAGACTCCACACGTAAGCTGATTGTGCGCTCTCCCCGGTGGGGAGCACGGGGGACATGGAATTCCCTCTGCCTCCTCCACCTGCAGTGGGGCAGCATTTTGCCTAATCCTGCTGATGGTTTGATGTCAGTGGTATCATTTTGAGCTCTCGCCCTCCCAAGCAGCGGAGCATAACGTCTCGCCGTGCAGGTAGGCCTAGAGAGAAGAGGGGCACCTCGACTCCGCCTGGACCAGCGTCCTGGCCAAAGCGGAGCGAGGCTGTCGCACTTCCTCCTGCCCTCCTCCTGCTCTTTCCGCCCCGTGGGGTCGTGATCCCATCCACTCCCATTCCTCCTCCCCGTGCCTCACTCCGCAGCTTCTTTCGTCTGTCCCTAACCAGGTGCTGGGTGGATGCAGTGGGTGTCAGCCCCCACCCTTCTGCTAGCCACGCCGTCTGCCCCCAGAGGGGCTGCAGCCGGAACATACCAGCAGTGCGCCAGCATGAGGAAGGCCGCCATATAAAACTTGCCCACCTCCCCTAAAGAAACACCAGCAGCCCGCCAGCCCCTTAAAAAGCCCCCCGGCTGCCCACGTGTGTCTGCGCGGGCCATTTTTCCGCAGAGGGCTGACACAAAGCGACACTGTGTGTGATATTTTTGGCAAATCCAAAATAGCAGCCCTCCTCCTTTTCCATTTGTCACTTAGGATCCCTTTCCAACGCGTCCTTGGCTCTTGCGCCGTCGGCTGGGATCACCTCTCTTTGGAATGAGTGCCCAAAAGCCCGCACTCTCCCTTGGGCACGGCTTCACACACACACACACACCAGACACACAGTGCCCCTATTGTTCTCCTCCCCTCCTCCCCTTTGTGTGTCGCAGAATGCAGTTATTGTAAGAGTTTGCTCCAAACTTCTCCCCCACCACCCAACTGCTTTTTCCACTCAGATAAACTCACTCACAATTAGTACACACAGGGGCAAGAGCGGAGCCTCGCCATGAATGGAGGCTCTTATTCCAGTGGCTGGGAATGGCAGAGAACACGGAAACACGGATGTGTGTGGCCTGGAGCATGACTTCATGGAGAGAATGCACACGCGCTCTCCTCCGTCTCCGCTTCCTTCCCTTGCCAAGGCCTTGCGTTCGGAAAGCTCCGCTGGGTGGCAGGAGCGGTGGCCGGGAAGTCCTTCCGTCCCACATCTGCCGCCCAGCGCTCCACCGGGGCGTGCCCCCTCCCCCCGATTCGGGCCCCATAGGAGGGGCTCTGCCCATAGGCCGGCTCCCCACCACGCCTGAGCACTGGCTCTTACGCCTCCTGCCCCACCCCTTGCTCCACAGGTTTTTGGGGAGCAGGGGGCTGCATCCCAGCCTGCCGCCTTCCAGGGGTTCTGGGAGCCTGCCACTGTGGGTGGGGGGTGGCACTGTGCCGCCCCACCACCCTGCTCCGCCGAGCGGATGGAGATCTGGGCCATCTTTCGGGTGGGAATGCGCGATCGAGCCGTCTGCATTTGGCAGCGTTTGGGTGGCCGGCAGCATCCCCTGGTGCCCGGGAGCTGCCGCTGCAGCACCTGTCTTCTGCTCCGAAGAGGAACCTGCCCACGCGAGCGGAGCATCCCGACGGTGCCCACCAGATCTTGCGTCTCACTGCTGCCCTCCCGTGTCGCCTCTCCAGCATGACCGGAAAAAGATGGGCCCGCAGAGAAAAGGGTTTCTTTGCGAGTGGCCTCCCCGGAGATGCCGCTTGGCCCCCTAAATGTTAGCCAAGCCACATACCCACAACTCCCCCCGGCATCCCCTCCCCAAAAAACTCTGCTCTCACATTTCTCCTAGCATTAAAACTGCCAGGAGGATTACTAGCCGCCCCTGCCTCACGTGGCGTGCAGAAATCGCCTGCTTCTTGGTGGTGGCGGCGGCAGGAGGAGGCACCTTTCCTGGCCTTGCCGAAGGGCGATCGTCCGGCTCGCCGCCCAGAGCGGAACCCTCCCCGGGCGTCTGCTCTCCAGTTAAAGCTGTAGCATGTCCAGGCCAGATGCAGGGGGCGCTGCCCCATGGAGGCAGGCACGGAGCCTCACGGTTCCCACCTTGCCGCCTGTGCCCAAACGTGCTTCTTGGCGCCTCATTCTTGCGTGGCGGCCCTTGCGTTGGGGTGGGACACATGTGGCCTTTGAGGGCAGGCCGGACTGCAGCTCTCACCGTCCTGCACCGCCAGCTGTGCTGGCTGGGCCTGATGGGAGCCGTGGCTGGACTGCAGCTCTCACCGTCCTGCACCGCCAGCTGTGCTGGCTGGGCCTGATGGGAGCCGTGGCTGGACTGCATGCTCCCACCCACTGGAAAAAGCAGCAGACACGGGTGCGCCTGGAAGCCCCGTGTGGTCCGGCCCCCAGCCAGCGCTTCCCTTCTGTGTTCCCCACAGTGAGCTGGATTATTACGACTCGCCCAGCGTCAACGCCCGGTGCCAGAAGATCTGCGACCAGTGGGACTCCCTGGGATCGCTGACCCACACCCGAAGGGAAGCACTTGAGGTGAGCCGGAGGGCCTTCCGGGGGTGGGGCGGGGGGGCAGTACCAGTGCCCTTGCGGGGACCTGACCATGCCCTGCATCCCCTGCCCAGAAAACAGAGAAGCAGTTGGAGACCATCGATCAGCTCCACCTGGAGTATGCCAAGAGGGCAGCCCCCTTCAACAACTGGATGGAGAGTGCGATGGAGGACCTGCAGGACATGTTCATTGTGCACACCACCGAGGAGATCGAGGTGAGCGGACGCGAGGGGCCGCTTGCAGCCCGGGGGAGTGCAGCGTGCGTCTTGCTCTCAGGAGGGCTGTGGCCTGCCCTGAAACCTCACAATCTGTGCCTTGCGGAGAGGACGAGTCCATCTTCCAAGACGGGCCGTTCCAGACCAGCGCAGCACCATTAGTGCCTGGCTGAATTTCAGGCTTTTGCCAAGTGAGTCCCATCTCACCGCTGGCCAGGTCTCGGGATCCCTCCCTTGTTTCTATCTGGGGCGCTTTTCTCTTCCAGGGCCTGATCGCAGCCCATGACCAGTTCAAATCCACCCTGCCCGACGCAGACAAGGAACGGGAGGCCATCCTGGGTATCCAGAGTGAAGCACAGAGAATCGCGGACTACAATAACATAAAGCTCTCTGGGAACAATCCCTACACTTCCGTCACTCCACAGATCATCAACTCCAAGTGGGAAAGGGTACGCGACGGCGGCCGGGCCTGCCGGGCCATGTTGTGAATCCCTTCTCAGCCTGGCGGCGGGCGGAGAGAGGGTGCGACTGGCGGGCAAGCCTGAGGCCGACCGTCCGAACGCGGCTCTCCTTTCCTTTGCCGGGCAGGTGCAGCAGCTGGTCCCCAAGCGGGACCATGCCCTGCAGGGCGAGCAGAGCAAGCAGCAGTCCAACGAGCACCTGCGCCGACAGTTCGCCAGCCAGGCCAACATCGTGGGGCCCTGGATCCAGACCAAGATGGAGGTGAGCGGCTCTGCCCCATCCCTCCCCCCTCACGAGAACTTGGGAGGGAGGCAGGAGGAGAGCCGTGCTGGATCTCCAAGTGCAGGTGTGAGCCGGGAGGAGCCGGTTGCAGGAGCAAGCGATGTGCCCGAAAGACCCCGGTTCGGATCTCGGCACAGCTGGATGCCTGCAGGTGGCCGTGTTCCCATCCTCAGTCTGTACCTGAAATGCAGGGACTATCATCTTGTTTAGCTCCGAGGGCTGTTGCAAGGGCCGCACCCCAAGAAGTGATCTGTCTGGTGGTCACGCCCTGCTGCTGGCTGCCCGTCAAACCGTTTTTCATTCCAAACCCCCCTTTCTGGTTGCTTTTCAAATTGCCCAAGGTGGGGGCATGGGAAATGCTCCCGAAGGGATGCGCAGGTGCCAGGTGTGGCGGCGGCGGCCATGGAGGTGGTGCTGGTATCTTAAGCATCCCGCAGATGTGTTGGGCTGGTCTGCTGGCATTTCCCAGCTGAGGGGTCCCCGGGCTGGCAAAGTCCGTTTCTCCAGATGCTCTGTGGGCGGCTCATTTCAGCATATTGACTCAGCATATTGGGAGCCCTTTGGACTGGACCCGCCGAGCGGAAAAGGAGTACAATATTAGCGACATTGGCACCTGGAACGGGGGTCACGGGGAGACGGGGGCACTACGCCAGCTGTGACATTGCTCGCGAGGGGCGAGGGAGAGCCTCTGTCAGTGCCCACCAGAGCAGGAGTGGGGTGGGGGCTGCAGGGGGCAGGTGCCTCTTGCTGACTTCCCAGGCGGGACGATCGGCCTGCTTGCCCTCGGCGTGCCGCCCATTCACCCCTCTCCCCTCCCCTCCAGGAAATTGGGCGCATCTCCATCGAGATGAACGGCACCTTGGAAGACCAGCTGAACCACCTCAAGCAGTACGAGCTGAGCATCGTGGACTACAAGCCCAACATCGACGTCCTCGAGCAGCAGCACCAGCTCATCCAGGAGGCGCTCATCTTCGACAACAAGCACACCAACTACACCATGGAGGTGAGGGGGAGGCGCCCGCCGGCCGTCTGCTCCGGGGCCGAGCCGTCGTGGGAGGGAGCGGCCGGCCTGCAGGGCGGGCGAGGCCTGCACCGGTGCTCAGGAAGAGCCGCACAGGGCCCTTCAGAGCTGCGCAGGCCCTGTCCAGCATGCGGCTTTCACAGTGGCCAGCCGACCAGCTGCCTGTGAGACGCCCACAAGCAGGACTCGGGTGCCGTTGCCCGCTCTGGGGCGTGCCCCCCACTGACTGGCCTTGATGCTGGGGGAGCACAGGCAGCCTTCTCCCTGCGGAATTTGTCACATCCCCTGTAGGGCTTCGCCTGCTTGGGAATGCCGTGGCTCAGCTATGCCTGCGTGAGGCCTGAATGGGCTCCGTGAGATCGGTGGGGCACTTGCCATGCGATGCACCGCACACTGTTCCCCTTGGCTGGTCGTGCCAGGGGTTCTGTTCTGCGTCACATGCTGGGTGGCTGAGCAGGCGGGTCCAGAGGCTGAATCCCCGGTGCGGACCCTCCTGCCCCTCTGCTCCTGACGCTTGGCATTAGGATATGCCTCCGCCCTGGGCACTGCCTAGCAGCAAGCTCGGAAATGCCTGACGGGCATCATTCCCAGTAGTCCTGCGGGTAAAAATTGAAGGGAGCGATGCCCCCTCTTGGCTGGATCCAACAGCTAAGCCTGCCCCCTTTATTCTCGCCCATCTCCAGCACATCCGTGTCGGCTGGGAGCAGCTCCTCACCACCATCGCCCGGACCATCAATGAGGTGGAGAACCAGATCCTCACCCGGGATGCGAAGGGAATCAGCCAGGAGCAGATGCAGGAGTTCCGGGCCTCCTTCAACCACTTCGATAAGGTAAACTGGACCGGGGGGAGGGCTCCCCATGGAATGGCAGAAACGGTTGTGCTCCATGGGGTTGGGGGATGGGGGGTTCACACAGGCCATTCCCCTGCTCCTCTTTGCCTCTCCTTTTTTAAAAGGCAGAGGGCTCCTGGCCACAGTGAGCAACATGTGCCCCATATCTTTCAGCCGCAATAGACCTGAGATACCTGGCAGAGGCTAGCACAGCCCAGGGCTTGGCATAACGTAGGGGTAAAGTTCCATTGAAAGAGGGCGATTTTGAAAAAGCCCTTCTTGAGTAGCTTTTTCTGCACAGCTCATCATTTCTGCCCATTCTAAACACATCCCAACCATCAGAATCATGCCAGGACACCTCGTTTTTCTAACCCTAACCCCACCCCTACCCTGGTGCACACCCCTAACCCTAATATGGGGGCAAAGTTCCATTGAAAAGAGGGCGATTTGAAAAAGCCTTCCTTGAGTAGCTTTTTCTGCACAGCTCAACATTTCTGCCCATTCTAAACACATTCCAACCATCAAAGTCATGCCAGGACACCTCGTTTTTCTAACCCTAGCCCATTGATGGCAAACCTTGTAAAGACCAGGTACCCAAACTGCAACCCAAAACCCACTTATTTATCGCAAAATGCCAACGCTGCAATAAAACCTGAAAACTGAGGCTTTAGTTTAATGAAAACAACTCACAGCCAGTCCAAGCAAATGTATATATATCCTTGGCAGTGCACTGACCGGCCATGCCAAAGCTCGTACGAGTCGCATCTAATGAGTCATGGCTTGTGACATCATCTCCTGGCACCACTATTCCTTTCTGAGCATGCGCATGGCCCCTCTGTACATTGTTATCCGATGCCTGGATGCTGGGGCGGCTTGGCTCGTGTGTCGACAGGGAGGGCTCTGCGTGCCCGCTGTGCCGCGCGGGCCATAGGTTTGCCACCACTGCGTTAGGGTTCTTTGTGCCAAGGAGCACTTTCGCAGCTTAGGTGTGTTCACAAAGCTGGGAGTGGGCAGAAGGTGGATCTCCAGGTGTGCTGGACTTCAGCTCCCAGCATTCCTGTCCTCTGGACATCCTGGAAGAGGCGCCTCCCAGCCTCCCGGAGGCACCTTCCTGCACAAAGCAGCTGATCCGAGTCTTGCCAGCAGCGGGGTGGAGCCTCCCTTCCCAGCCCTGGCAGAAGTGTGTTTCTTTAAATGGGTCTTCTCCCTTCTACCATCAAGACCACGTGAGCCCCCAAAAGCAGCGGCTGGGCTGCGCTGTCTTGGCCAGTGCAACAAGAGGGGTCCCTCTTCCTCTCCAAGCCAGTGGCTTTTCCGGATGTTCACATATGACTCATGCCCAGTAGCAGCACGCCAAATATTTGGGAATAGTTTGCCACCAGTTGATCCAGTGAGCAGCAGAGTTCAGTGTGGAAGCCCTGCGCTCCCTCCCATATGCCAGGAAGCACAGGAATTCATGGAGTGGTTCCCACCCACTGGCGAACCAATCCCGCGCCTTCTAAAAACAAAGGTGGGGATCAGGAATCCGGTTTTCCCTGTGTTTGGCGGAGAGGCAACGCATGTCCCATTCCCCGGTGGATGCCTGTGAGTATCCACCCGTGGCCCAAGCGGGGATGGGGGAAAGTCGCTGAGGCCGAGCCTGTGGGGCTAGACTGGCCCCCTTTCCTTCTCTGGGGGCGCAATCCTCCCCCGCGTCAGGGCTTGCAGACTCAAGCTGGTTGTGAACTCGGTGTGGGACTAACGGCGTGTCTTTTCCCCTCCACCTGGCCTCCCTCGTTGTGTCCGCACGGGCCTTCCCGCCGCCCTCTCTTTTCCTCGACGTACATACCGCGCCCTCCGCCCTTCCTGTGCGTGGCCCGGCGGCAGGACCACGGCGGCTCCCTGGGACCCGAAGAGTTCAAAGCTTGCCTCATCAGCTTGGGATACGATGTGGAAAATGACCGACAGGTACCTGACGTCCGCTCACTGCGGAGACTTCTGGAAACATTGCAATTAACCTGATCTCCTTTCTCTCTTCCTCCTTCACATTGTTCCCTCCCCCAACTTCTCCTCCAATCATCCTGTTGTTAATGTTTTTTATATCCAATTCCTGTGCCCAATTCGTCCTTCCCACCCCCATCCTCTGGTAACATGGCATCTCGATGACTTTTCCGGACTGACTTTCTCTCTCTGCGTCTTTCTCTCCCTCCATGGGGCTGTTGCTCTGTCCTTCCTTTCATCCGTGCATGCCTTGTCTGTCTGCACCCTTCTCCTCCACCTTCCTTCCTTGCTTCTCCTGCTGGCCTCTCGGAGTAGAAACGCACGGGGAGCATGGACACCGATGACTACCGAGCCCTCCTTATCTCCACGGGATACAGCCTGGTACGCACTCTGCTTTGCCTCTCCTCTTCTTTGCACTGTCTTTGCTGGCGGTGATGGTCGCCTGAGTGTTCTGGCTGTCTGTCCGTCCTCTTGCAGCTGATGGGGGCTGGTATGTCAAAAGTTTGACTACGGGGTCAGGAAATTGTCCTTGGAGGTATTTGTGCTCAAGGTGGATGTCGGGGGGGGGGGGATGTTTGGCTCTTTGCTAGGGTTGCCAGATGCTTAATTTTTTGTTTAAGTCAATCCACATTTTGAAATCTATTTTAGCATAAATATATTTGCATATTACCCAGACTTCAGTGTGGGAGTCTTTTGAGAGAGATCAAAGGCAGAGGAGAGACCTTGGAGCAAGTTCTAAACAAAGGAGACGTGTTAGTTTTAGAAGAAAAAAGCCATCCTCGATTCATTTTCTGCTGCTGACCTGTAATTTCTATTTGGCAGACCAGTTGGCTATGATAATTAGCTGCCAAAGCAAAAGTACGGAGTGGGCGTGTGGTCCTTAAGTCACAGCCCTGCCAATCAAAACTGGACTCGGTGGAGGCTTTTATGGAAAGTTGGGCGCCTGCAACCAAGTATTTGCTCCTACTTGCAACACAGATGTGTGAGGAGCCGCATTGTGCGGTGGGAAGGGGTTTCCTTCAGATGGGTGAGGATGGGTAACTTGCAGCACCATCCTATGAAAGTTTGGAGAAGGGAAAAAGGCCTAAAACTTCATCATGCCCCAGCCAGCCATGGGGAGTGGCCTAGGGCAGGCAGTGCATCCTGTCCGTCTAGCCAAGTATGACCATACCATCTTGCTTCATTCCTGCATTCATCAGGAGACACCCTCCTGGCAGTGCCAGAAATGCCAGAGGCCCAGCCTGTGATGGCTCAGGATCGGGCCCGTACACCTTCACACCCAGTCTCTGGAACCCCTCACTAGTTAAAACCAAACAGGCGCCAACCCTTCCAGCTTCCGGCAGCTCCTGAAATCTTCCTCTTCCTCCAACACGCTTTCCCAGAATAGCAGAGTCTTGGCTTTTTCCCTGCTGTCATCTCAGGAGCCTGAGTTTTACACAGAACTTCACTCTGGTTTTGCACCGTGGAAGCTACACAGTGTGCAGCCATCTCTCTCAAACGCAAGCCACTCTTGCCTGTCAGTGACTGAGAGCTCCAGCAGGCAGCAGCTCTCCGCGGTCTCGGGCAGGCAGGCATTTTTGCCCCCTGTGTGCTGCCAGGAGTTGCACCAGGAACCAGCGCCAGGGTGTGCCGTCTTGGCTGGAGGCTGCGGCTCGCCGTGCTGCGCCAAGCCTTCAGAGCGGCCGCGGCCGTCACCTCCTGTGGGGGAACTGAAATCCTCTCTCCCGCCACCCTTTGCCAGGGAGATGCAGAGTTCAATCGGATCATGAGCCTTGTGGATCCCAACCAGAGCGGTGTGGTGACCTTCCAAGCCTTCATTGACTTCATGTCCCGGGAGACAACAGACACGGATACGGCGGACCAAGTCATTGCCTCCTTCAAGGTCCTGGCTGGCGACAAGGTAAGAGGCCGGGACGGGAACGGGGCTCGCAGAGCGAGCGCCTTGCCCTACAACCGGCAAGAGCCCAGCCCCTGACGCCTTCTCTGTCTCCCGCAGAACTACATCACAGCGGAGGAGCTGCAGCGAGAGCTTCCCCCGGATCAGGCCGAGTACTGCATTGCCCGCATGGCACCTTACCAGGGGCCCGACGCCACCCCCGGAGCCCTGGACTACAAGTCCTTCTCCACGGCGCTGTATGGCGAGAGTGATCTGTGAGGCAGAGAGGGCGGCGGCAGCGGAAACAGCAAGCGCTGGCGCTTCTGGGGAGGGGTGGGGGGACGGGAGGGGAGGGGAGGGGGCGCGACAGTTGGAATTTCCCTCCAAGCTGTATTCACGTACACGCACACACACACACACACACACACACACACACACAGAGCAACGGGGACTATGTCCTCCCCCCCCCCCTCTCTCTCTCTCTCTCTTTCTCTCTCGCTCTCTCTCCCTCTCTGAGGACAGAAAGCTGCCTCCACGCTGGGCGACCCTAGGAGCTGACCTATATAACTTTTTTTTAATGACGTATTTTACGTATACTGTTACCTATGCAATGGTTGTACTTCTTTTCTTTCCTACAACACTAAGCAGGGGGGAGAGGGCCGTGATCTCCCTGTCGCCTCGGCTTTCCACTGCTCTGCAAGGCAGGGAGACAGGCAGGTCCATGGGCTTTGCAGCAAAGAGTCGAACGCAGAAAACATCCAGGCAGCTGTGGCTCAGGTGGCACTTTTCGTTAAAGCTTAGGTCCCGTTCCGTTTTCTTTCCTCAGTCAGAAAAGCAGGGGAGATTCTGTTCTCCGAATGGCTGGCAAAGTTCTCCAGAACTGGATCTCACTCTCCCTCACGGTTCGGTCTGTCCCTCCCTCTCCCAGTTTGCGTCACGGCGGCCAGAGCCCTGCCGTGGGTCAGCGGCATGTTGACACCCAAGCAATTCCGGTCTGGAGGACCACCAAGATACACTTTCTGCAGGTGTCTTTTGTTTTGTTTTGTTTTGTTTTGTTTTGTTTTGTTTTGTTTTGTTTTGTTTTGAGTTTTTAAATACAGAACCTGGGTACCCCATTCCTTTTCAGCCCTTCCACCTCACTGTGCCAGGCAGTTGGAGAACATTTGTTCCCTCCCTGTTCCACCCCCCCGAAGCCCACCTGACACAAATGCGCCCAGGATGGGGGGCACAGCTGGACTTCAGACACTGCCTGGCCCAAAGCAGCCGTTCAGCACAGGCAGGCAGCTAAGCTCGCCGATCTGCCAGTCCTGCGGCCAGCTCTTCTTTTCCCTCCTCAAGCATCGTCTGCCTGCCTCCTTTCTTGTCTTAACCCCTCTAGTTGACCTTCCCCACTTGGCTGAGAGTTACCCACCTGGCTTCCAGCCCAGTGCCGGATTATTTGGGGTGGGGATCAGAGGAGACCTCGCTCTGGGGAAGAAGTAGGCCCTGGTTGCGTTACACAAACTGTGAGCGCAAGTTGCAGGCTCTTCTATCTCGCAGTCGGCTGCTTATTCACTGGTCCTTATGAAGAAGGAAAAATGGTATAGAGAGAGATGCCCTCATCCTCCTCTGCATGCTAGGCCTGTGTCCTGTTTTTAAAAACTACTCCTCCTTTCTACCCATCCCCAAGTCGGTTTTTTTGTACGACGTTTAGAAACACATTTATCTCAGCAATACAGACACAGACGAAGGGCGAAGCACAGAACAGGTTCAGGGATGTAATAGAGGCCGATTCACAGCTGCGAGGGAGCAGGTGCCTACACCAGTCTTAAAAGAAGGTAGTCCTTCCTCCCAGATAGGTGGAACCCTCTGTTTCCCCCTTTGCATGCGTCATGGGGGAAGTGAAATGGGGGTGGGGTGGGGTATTGATCCACAGGGATCATAACTAAAGGATGCTTTTAAAGGGAAATTTGGAACGGTGTCTGCGAAGGAGGGACATGGCAAGACCTTTTGCTTGCTTCCACTCCTGGGCTGCAGGAAGCCCAAGCAAGAGGTCATGCTCGTGGGACGGGTCAGGGGAGAGCCCGAAGCAGCTCCTTCCCTGTTAATCTGGGGTGCCTCAAACCGCTCAGTTGATTCCTTCCCTCTGTAGGCAGGGGTGCTTCACCGGTTCAGTCTTCCTCACTTTCTCTCCACTTGGAACAACCCTTTAAATTCATTGCTTCACGCTTATATATATATTATATATATATCTATTTTTTGTAATTTCTTCATCATGGTGCAGGGTTTTCTGAGGACCAAATTTAAACAGAAGAGAACCGTGCAAAGATCTTTTTTAAAAAAGAGAAATTAAAAACACAGCAAGCTGTTGCAATTTAATAACGTCCAGATTTATTATTATAAAGTATATATATATTCATCTAGCATCGCATAGTGCCGATCAGTGGCGTTTTTTGTCTTTTTCCTTTCATCATGTACTTAAAATTACGGCTGACTGTAGCACTGGAAACTGTAACATTCCCATAGTGTTTTTGTTGTCGTCGTCATCCATATTTTTTGTTTAGGTTCTCTTTTTTGTTGTTGGAGAAGGTTAGCCTCTTTTATTGCGTTTGCTACTGGATGCCTGCCCGTGGAGGACAGATGCTTCAGCCGAAAGGGAGTAGTCAGTGCCTGTCCACCCCTGTTCATCAGCAAGTCTACTCTGAAACTTCCAAGCTTTCTGGGGAAGCCAGCCCCCCCACTCCCTTTTGGGAACAAGACAATAAAGTGTAATATTTTTAAGGATTATTTTTGTACTGTCTTCTTTCCCTCCACTTTCCTCTTGCCACTTGTGTTATTGTCCTGCGAAGAATCGCTCTGGATCAGAGCAAAGGCCGAAGACTGGACTGGGGCGCAGGGCGTCTGGGCTCTAGTCCCCGCTCAGCTACGAAGCTCGTGGGCGACTTTGGGCCAGCCTCGCCTTCTCGCCCAACCCCAGGCTGTCACTGGGAGATAAAATGGAGCTGCAGAAGTGGCCCTGGGTGGGAGGGAAGGTGGGCTGCCTTGCTCTGGTTCTGGAGGGGGCAGAAGCTGGCCAGGTGGGTGGCTGTCGGCGCTTGGGTTGCAGCAGGTTCCACAGCTGGATCATGCCCGGTGTGAGCAAGAGGCCCGTCCTCTGAAGCGGGCACAGCGTCTCTCTGTCCAGCCTGTGGCCAGGCACTCTGCAGTGCGGCAGGTGTAGGGCTCCGCCGGCCGGCTACCAGAGAGCCTTTGGAAGGGAGGTGTGTGGCTTCCGGAGCATGGTCTGTCCTTACCACCGAGCTCCTGAAAAGGGCTTCCGACCCACTGGCAGCCAGCTCTGCTGCATCCTTTGTCCCCCGCCCCCCAGCTTTTTGTGAGGGGAAGAAGCGGGGCAGGGCGCCAGAAACGGTCCCCTCTGCCCGAAAGAGCTCCTTGTGGCAAGTGTTCCTTGCCCTGGTGTTTGAAGGGTTGGGAGCACATGCCTGGGTGCCTCGTGTCACCCCCTTGACGCTCTTCCTAGACTTCTAGGGAGGAGGGCTGAGTCCCCATGCCCTTGGCCATCCCAGGGGAGGGAGCCAGCTAGTTGCAGAGGGCGGTATGAGCTTCATTTTTCGTTCATTCAGAAAAACCCTGTGGTGTCTGATCACAATCCTCTGTAAGTCTGTGTGTGTGAAAACCAGTCATTGTTCTGCAAACTGCAAATCATAAATGTTAACATCAGAACTCTCTTGTTCCAATTATATCACCACCACAATACACCGCATTGTATTTATCCTACATTTTTCCTCTTGCAAGGCACCCAAGTTTACAAGGTTCCCCTTGACTCCATTTTTATCCACACAACAACCCTATGAGGTAGGTTAGGCTGAAAGTGAGAAGCTTCTCCACTCACACAATGGTTTAGGAAGAGAGAGTTTTCTTTTTGCCCCAAATTCCTCTCCCTGGTGGATTTATGGGCTGGATTGGGAAGAGTTTCCAAAACAAATTCAGATCCAGTCACTTGTCAGGCACATGTCGCAGTCACACTATCGCTCATAAACCAGTGGAAGGACTTGGAAGACCAATCTAGTATATAGCCTTTCTTGGAAGGCATTACGTCTTCAGTCTTTGAGACAGAAATATTCAACAGCATTAAATTACTCATGTGAACCAGGCTGCCTGAAAGGTGTTCTCCCTCAACTAAGCATGAAAACTCCAGGTACTTTCTCTTCAAGCCCATCTTTTTTATTTTTCTGAAATGCTAAAATACACTGGATACTTGGGTATGGTTAGAAGATTATGAGACTGAACAATCTTTCCATGTATGTCTGTTACTTCCTGCAAAAGATTTACCCTGCTCATCTTGGCTTGTCGCCTTCTCTCTCTCCTCTCCTAGGCAGAGAAGAAAGTGCAGTAAGGACAATTTCACAGGAATTCCAGCTAAACATGGGGCAGGGCTGGCCACTGAAATGGCAAGCAAAGCTACGGATACCACGTGCCATAGGGCAGTCTCGCGTGAGGGTTGGACTTGACATTAAGGAGCTGAGGGAGGGCATGACCGGAACCAGTGGAAGATGTTGGCACCTGAGGCACACAATCTGAATGGCACCCATTCCTGCCGTGTAAAATAAAACTAGAAGTTGTTTTTATCATGGGAGAAGCATTTAAGGACTGAGCCAGGACTCCTTCTGCCATAAAGACGCTACTTGGTGCTGCCCACCTCAAGGAGCCATTTCATCTGCCTCTTGGTAGGTCAACTTGACGCGCTTTACCAGATTAATGTCGTGGAAGAGGCTCTCTGGAGAGACCCCCTGCCTTCGCTTCATGGCCCCCGCAGATAAGCTGCTTTGCCCTCAAGCCAGTTCCCTTCTCCCCATGTCTCCATTTCATATTCCAGGGTTCTGGTGCGGGAAAATAAATTATGTAAAGCAGAAAGGAGGTCTTGCCAAATTCCCAATCCTCATCGCAGAATTGCTCCTTCCCATGGTGCTGAGTGCAGGTTGCTTGATTCCAGGAAGCCCGCTGTGCCCCCAGTTCGCGGCGGCTTAACGCACTCGCCAGCCTGCCCTGGATGCGGGGATGTGATTTCTGCCTGCGTTGCTGCTTTCCCAATTAAAGGCCACTTTCTCGAGTTTGATGTCTCCATCCATCTCCAAGAAGCGGATCTTCTTTGGTGAGAGTCGGTGGTCAAACTCGCAAAGAAACGTGTCGTTCTCCATTATCTGGCAAAGAAAAAGGCCGTGTGATGGATGAGCCTGCAGGCCCTCAAAATGTCTCGTACTGGGCGAAATGCTTGTGTATCTGCTAAGGACCCCGTGCTTTCTCTGGATTGTGAGGCTCTTATTTAAGGGACCGGAATGACCCCAGCA